TTCCGAGCCCTCGGGGAGACGCCCAGGGCTTGCTTCTGAGCTGTTGGGGCCGCACTGGAACCGCAATGTTTTCTTCTTTTTTATTTTATTTTTTTTTTCTTTCAATAGCGTTTTCTTGCCGCCAGAGACTGGGAAGATGACACATATTCCCGTGACAAAGACGCCGAGATAAAGACGTTTGGAGTGGGATTTGGGTTCAACGGGAGAACAGTTCAGTGGAGCTGAGGCCTCCCTTCTGTGTAGTTCGCTTTTGACCCAGAAGAGACACCAATTCTTAAGGGACTATTCAGTCGCTCGGCAGCTGGTGGCCACTCTGGTATTTTGTACCCTCCGAGCAAGTTAACCATTGGACATCAGAGCCAAAGCTCTTTTAACCAGATTCCATGAGGGGGCCATGGCTGTCCAGAGATCTCGTGGGCATGGCCAAAGCCCTTTGGCCTTGGTGTGCACGGGCTGCGCGGTTGCCGGTTAAAGCCTGGCGCTTGGGTTGTAGGTTTTCTATTCCAGACAGAGGAGGGTTAACGCACTGTGCGGAGACTCATGCTGCAGCTACGAACTCCCTCTATGTCTGAGTCACAGGCACTTTGCAGCCTTAGAAGGGCCCCCACCAAGCAGCCCCAGGGCACAGAGCTTTGTTCTCTGCCTGCCTGTCTCCAGAGCATTCTGCATCTCTCCAGATTCTCCCCAATCTTCTTGCACCAAGAGTCTGTCCTTGATGCCCTCTGCTCAGCTCTGGGACAAAGCAACCTGTGGGGCCTCCTAGAGCCTGCTCCAGCTGTATCTCCTCCCATAAGCCTTCATTGAATGTCCTGGCTAGGCCCCGGGATCTCACTGGCCTTCAGGCACTGGGATAGAAAGTGGACAATGGATAGTTTTCTCAAGCTGCCCGACTCTGGGGAGCAATGCCAGGTCCAGGCAGACAAGCAGATGGATGCACAGGTCATGGTTAAAGGCAATTAGCATAGAGACCCAACTCAGCCATAGCATTTGGCCAGCACTCTTCTAACCCCAGAAGAGTAGGGTGACTGGAGTGTTCAGGAGGACCACACTAGGGCCTGGAGGGGAGGACAAAGTACTAAGGTCAGGGGTCACAGCAATTCCATTCCTAGGTGCCTACTTACTCAAGAGAAATGAAAATGTGCATCCACACAAAAAGTTGAGCCCGTATGTCTGTAGCAACATGGCTCACACACAAAAAGTTGAGCCCGTATGTCTGTAGCAGCATGGCTCAAAGAGCCATCATGTAGGAAGGATTCAGCCTGTGTCAGCTGTTGGTAAAGGAGAGTTCAGAGCACAGTCCACACAGCAGAATATTACTCACCCAGGGAAAGTACTGAAACATTATGACACGGATGGTTTCAAAGGAAGCCTGTCATGTAAATCCGTTGTGGGGAATGTCCAGAAGATATATATCCACACAGGCAGAAAGGGCCTCAGAGGGAGAACGGGGTGGTTACTATTTGATACAGGGTTGCTTGGAGAGTCAAAAAAAAGTTTCAAAATTAGAATATAATTATGGTTTGGATCTGGAATGTCCCCAAAGGCTCATGTGTTAAAATCTTTGTCTGTAAATCATTTCCCTATTGGGAAGTGATGGCAACTTTAGGAGGCAGGGCCTGGCTTGAGAAAGGTCATGCATGCCCTTGAGGGTGTCTTCTCCCTTAGTCTGTGGTACAATGGCTTCCCTACCATGCCTCTGTTCTCGCACCATCATGAGTTGTGATGTTCTGCCTCTCAGAATGTCCAGTAGCAATGGAGCCAGCATCCTGTGAGCCAAAACCACAAACCAGAGGAAGTCCTTCTTTCGGTGCTGGTATCAAGTGTTTTGTCACATCGATGAAAAGTTGACTAATAGTCTTGTCACTAAATAAACCCAAGTGCCAGACGTTGGTTATATCTCAGTAAAGCTGCCTGAGAGCCAAGGGCAGAGGCCAGTTATCACAAGTCATGGGGTTGTCCCAGGTGTCATACACTGTATGTCGCTGTGAAATAAATCGCACGCTTGGTGAGGGTATAGGTAACTATTTATTGTGGAAGGTACTTACAAGAGAAACTGGCAACCCAGGTGAGTCAGCAGCTTTCCGAGACCGGACCGGACGCTCGAAAGAGAGGGTGTGGGTCTCCCTACAGCTGCATACAAGATGCAAGACTGATAAGTGAGGGTGGAGACTTGCTTTGCTTTGGGAGCCTAGAGAATTTTCTGGGCAGTTGGAGCCTGAGTCCTTAAGAGGCCCCTGCGGGGTGCCTATAGCAGCACAGGTTTTTGGGGCTTCTTTCCCCGGTGCTGGTCATTTAGACAAACTGCTCAGAGTAATCCAGCTTGCTTGCCCCCTTCCCAGTGCTTGTGAGTCAAAGGCAGGGCCTCAGGTGTGTGGGAGGGGAGGGGACAGAGGGAGTTGTGATATAATGTGTGCACCACTATCCAGAAGCCATCTCATGGGTCTGAGATCACCTGGGCTCAGTGAGGGCAATTTTTGCCTGGGTTCTCAAGCAGTTTGGGTCAGACCGCAGTGGGACTGGAGTCTCAAGGTTGGATGAGATCAGGAACGTTCAGGGTGGTGTGGCTGTAGACAAAGGAGGGCTTTCTTCCACTGCTGGTGATAGCTGCCCACCCACCGGTGACTAGAGGAGGGACATGCGCTGCCTGGTAATCTTCAGCAAGCTGACCATTGAAAAGTCTTTCCTGTAAATTCCGAGTGAGACCTGCTCTGGCTGGCCAAAACAGAACCCAGGAAGGGTGCAGTACCATTTCTCTTTCTGGGGAGACCTGCAGGTTACTACAGTCCCCAGCCTAGGACTACTCCCGGGTTCTCTTTTGGCTTCTTAGAAATGCAGAACACCAGTTCCAGGAGGCCCAGGCTTGCTGAAGCTGAGTCCACACATTCATTGCACACAGAGGTTTTTTTGTAACTGGACCTTTTTAGGGAGTTTTCTCATCAGTTCCTAAGGCAGTTTGGAACAGCGGCTTCCGGACAGCTGTGTGTGCTGGGCCACAGGACAGACAAACCGGGAAGGCTTCAGGTCTGAGACAGAGGAGTAGTTATGATTCCCATCAGGAAGATGGACGCCCATTCCACCTGAGCCCCTAGGAGGATGAGCACGTGGCAAGCAGCTTGGGGCTCTCCCAACCCTGCAGGCTGACTTAGGCACTCCCAGGCCAAGCCAAGGCCCTCACACTTCACACTGGCCTGCCACCTCTTTGGACTTCATTTGCTTCTCTCTGTATTTTTAAACTGAGCCCCACTCCGGGAAGAAGACGCCAGGGACACTGGGACCCACTAGCTTTAGATGAAAACCTGCCAAGGTTCCCAAGCAGGTAGGTGGTAGGAAAGGAAGTTTCTCAAGGAAAAGAAAAAGGAGTTGGCGCACCGACTTGAGGTGTGCCTCAAACCAGCTCTACACTGCCGGTCGCACATGGTGTGTTTTGGGGCCACTGTTGTGAGCCTCTTGGAGTTTAGAATTTGGGTGGCACCAAAGAGTGAAAGCCGAATGTAAGAGGAGCGGAAAAGAAAAGAGTCCAGGTGTTCTGGGCTCTCTGTTCTCAGGTACTACCCTGTGCGTGTCACTTGGCCTGGCTTTTGGTGGATGTGCCTGATTCTTTCTCAAATGTAACTATTCTGTCTGACCAGTCCGGGCCAGATGGGTCAGCACAACTCCCGCCAGCTGACCTGGCAACTTCCCAGGAAAGGCAAACAGAAATTTTGACCCAAGATTTCGTGGCAAAGTTCTCGAGTCCTCTTTCTGCTAACTTCCCACCCATGAGCATGATGGGCGATGACAGGCGTACCCCGATTCTGGCCCAATAAGGGCATCCTGGTGTGACTGATGGGTGTTTGGCACTTGGCTGGAGGACTTTCTCCTCATGCTTGGCAGGATGCAGGAGACAACGTGGAGGGCCAAAAATGTCAGGGCTAAGACATCCTGATTAGCCACAAGTACAGTTTGACATCCCAAGCTCCAAGCATCACCTAACCTCCTATGGGTCCCTTGGGCTCCCCAGTGAAGAGCCATCAGGAAATCACTGGTGGGCCAGCCTGCCCTCCAGTGGCACTGAGACATCACTGCAGCCTGGCTTTTCACAATGTAGTGGGGAGGAAGGACTTGTACCCACTGAGAGCAGGTGCCATTCTGTCTCTCGGGGCTTCTCTGAATCCTTTATGACCCTCAACCTTAAAAGAGGAAGGGAGATACCATGTAATCAGCACTTACTTCTTTGTAGCAGGGACTTTGTTCACCTTGCCTTCCTGACCTCATCAGTTACCTTGAGTCTGTCTACACAGGTGCAGAGAGAGAAAGAGAGAGAGAGAGAGAGAGAGAGAGAGAGAGAGAGAGAGAGAGAGAGTATCTAACGCAAAGAAATAGTTCATGCCTTACAACATAGGTCTCACGAGGCCAAGTCATTCTCAGCCACTTTCCCAATGTGCCACACTCTTGTCCAGGCAAAAAGCAAAGGACAGATGATAGGTGAGGCATTGCAACCCAAGGGATGTGTGCTCCATCGAGTAGCCTTGGACATTCAAGTGGGAGGGCTAGACTAGCTCCTCCCCCCACCCCAAAAGAGTCTCTCATAGCCCAGGCTGTCCTGGGATTCGAAATGCAGCAGAGAGGAACCTTGGGCTTCTGATTCTCTTCCCTATGTAGCCCAGGGCTAGGGCGGGAGTTGCAAGCATGTGCTACCATGTCTGGCTTTAGACTAGCTTGGGAGAAGCCAGAGTTTGGATTTTTATGAACAAGTTCCCAACTGTAAATACTGGTCATTAATTGAGAAGAGTTTAAGGATTATGTAGGTCAAACAAACCTGTTTCTGTCACCTGAACTTGGATAACAGCCGAATGCGGCAGGTGAGGTACGGTGAGTTACCCGTGGTCACATGACTGGTGTCGTCCAGACACTGCCCATCCTAGCACACTTCCATCATCTCCCAATTCTCCAGCCCACAGTGCGGAGGTACGCTCTGCTGACCCCAGAAGAGCAAGAAAGCATCAGACGCCAGCCACAGGTAGGAGGACTGTCTACATTTATTGATCATTTGAAGTGTAGTGAGGCTATCCTTACCCTCTTGGAAGTCACACATACACACACACACACACACACACACACACACACACACACACACCAAAAAACAAAACAAAAACCATGGAGTGTCAAGGGGTTTCAGAATCCTGCTGAGGTAGTGGGTGGGCCCAGAGGCTTTACCTAATGTTCTGGAAGTACCTATCCTAAGGACTTGGCTTTGACCTTATACCGGGAAAGAAGAGCTGAGCCTGAACTGTCCCAAGATTAAACTAGCTCCTAAGCCTGGACTGAAAGTCCTCCAAAGGGAGGGCTACCCAATTAGCAGAAGGGATAACTGAGGCTTTGGCAGGAGGGAACTTCATGCTGAGTCCCAGAGCCCTGACTATTAGGCTACTGAGTCAGTCAGTGCTTTTCCCTCCCAACCCAGGGCAGAAAGATGCCCTGGCATAGCTGCTCCAGATATCACTTATAAATACTTTCTAAAAAATGATACTGAGCCAGCCAGTGGTGGCATACACCTTTAATCCCAGCTCTCGGGAGGCAGTGGCAGGCAGATCTCTGTGAGTTCAAGACCAGCCTGGTCTACAAAAGCTAGTTCCAGGACAGCCTCCAAAGCCACAGAGAAACCCTGTGTCAAAAAACAAACAAACAAACGTTCCTAAGCATTCAACCGAGGGTTTCACACATGCTGGGCAAGCACGCTACCACTGAGCTGTATCCCCAGCCCCTTTTGACCTTGAACTTGCAATCCCTCTGCCTCAGATTCCTGAAAAGCTACCAGGCCTATGCTATTAGCCTAGCTTCATGTTTTTAAATAGTAATAAATTAGGTCTTGGACTTGCCCATGGTCCCTTGCCTATGGCAAGCTGAGTGTTATGTGATATAGACAGCATGTCATAGGTGGATTCCTGATCCTGTGTACTGCCATTTACAGTGCTAAGAGCCACTGGCCAGGTGCCACACTGTAAGTTCCATGTAATACTATATATGGCCTATTCTATCATGAGTATGACCTTCCCATGTTGAGGTCATGATGCACCATACATAGCCTTCCCCATCATATATGACATCACGGTACTCTCATTGTGCCAGCGTCCCACTGGTAACACATGTCACATATGATGTATGATCTTCTTTTGGTCAAACAAAGTTCTCAGTTCCCAAGAAAGTTCTCCCTAAGGATTGTGACAAGACAAACGCACTCTTGCCTCCTGGGATTTTCATAGGATGCTGAGCTGAGCACCAACTGAGGCTCTTCTCCTGAGACCCCCTTCCTGGGAGATGATGTGGTTGTCACTGGGATGGACCCAACAGTCTTGAGAGGTCCATCACGTTCCTCAAAGAGTCTGGGGCTGCTGGTCAAAGAAGGCAAAGTCCAACCTGGGATCCTGGCGCTGCAGACTCTGGGCCACATGGGCAGGAATGGGGTTGTTCCAGAGGCTGTGGGTACAGACATGGGCCTCAGCTCCAGAGTTGTCCCCTTATTCTCTTGGCTCTACTCCTAACCTACCTACAGAGTTAAAGATGACGTCCTAAAGCAGAAGAGCCACCCATGTCACCCAGTGGAGGCAGTGCACACCAACGCAGCCACCCAAGCAGGATGCCCCCCACTGAGAGCCAGCATGTCCCAGGCTCCGAGCCCTATCCATTCTTTAGTTCCCACCACCCTTCCAGGTAGGGAAGTTAAGGTTCAGAGACACGAAGTTACAGATGTAACGTTAACACAGTCGGCAAATAGCAGAGCTGGGATTTGATCCAGGTCTGCTGGCTGCCAAATCCTTAATGGAATAGTCCAAGTCTCCCTGGATAATCCTCAGCCCTGGGCCCTGCCTTTCCCCACAGGATGTTGATTCAAATTGTAGGGTCTGTGTGGTCTTCCACCGCAAGGCTAAGTCCCTCATTACCGAATGACTGGAACGCAGGAGCCCTGGACCAGCCCTTGAGCCAGGAGTTGGGCTCCACATGCTGTGATCCGGTTCTTCTCCAAGCTTTGCAGTGGACAGTGGCAGGGGAAGAGGGAAAGAGGCAAGCATGAGGCTGGGGACAGGGTTTCCTCCTCTATGTCCCATCCCAGGCAAGACCAGTCGCCTCCTCCTCCATTGCCAGCATATAGCACTGGACTCTGACTCCTTGTGGGACGGTGGAGAGGCTGATGGCCTGAGCATGGGAAGAACTAAGATTGGCAGGGGCTTGGGACCAGCCAGGGTATTCCAAGACACTGGACAGACTTCCGGGAGCCAGGGATAGCCCAGTAACCTCTGTGCTTATTTAGGATGAGGGTCCCTTCTACACTTCCCACCCAAGGGTGTCATACTCCACTCTCTTCAGCTGCCCCATCTGCGGCAGGACCTGGGCCAACTCGGCAGCCACCTCGTCACCAAGGAGGTTCCACGACAGCCTGCAGAGTGAAGGCGGGGCGAGCTCAGAGGCAGAAGACAGCAGTAAGGACCACTAGGTGCCAGCAGTATCAGGTACAAGAGCTGTTACCCAGCCAGATGCTTGAGTACCTACCCCTGAAGAAATCGCAGGGCACAGGTGGTTCCTTCCTCCCTGCCTGTCCCCACCCTATCCTCCTTCCTGAGCAACATGTTCTTCAGAAACAATATGACTCAATGTACACCAAACCGAGCACCTCGATGCAGTGTCTGCCTCCCATGTGATAGTGTGTCATATTTTTTTTAACTCTCCCCCACATTGTTTTTGCTGTGAGACATTAATCTTCAATGGATGCATATCTCTCTGCTGTCTGTGGAAGCTCCATGTGAAGGACGGGAAAGTGTTGAAGACAGTGAATACAGTGCCACCAAGGGCAGAACTCCCAGTGGGGACCCATGTCCTTCCCAGGGTACTCAGCTGGGGGGGGAGGGGGGAGGTCACTGTTAGCAGAGCTCAAAATCAGCGAGCGCTGACCTGTGGCATAAGGAGGAGGATTAAGAACTAAGAACGCTGAGGACTGAGGGTGTAGCTCAGTGGCATAATACTCACCCGATGTGCATGAGTTCTATTCCCCAAGACAGAAAAAAACAAGTATCCCCAAACTCTTTAGGATGCAGACCTAGAAATCCCCTTCCACTCTGTACCCTGTACTTTGGGAGTTAGAATTTTCTTCTTCTCAATGCCCAGTGCCTCGAGTCCCAGCAGTCAGGTTTGACACCCTCAGAGTTTGAGGTCTGAGGCAGTGGGATGGCCAAAGAGGTCACAGCCAGTGAGTGTGTTGGGGGAGGGGGGGTAGTGGTGGTGATGGTGTTAGTCTACCAGCTTCTACCTTCTGCATTATCAACAGCTATTCACAAGCAGAATCTCCATAAACCATTAAAAGTGCACCCCCAAAGGGAAGGTCAAAGGCCAAAACCCTTTGCAAAGGTCCACCACCCTTCCCACAACACACTAGAGAAACTGGCAGGAGAGGTCCAGTGGCTCTGCCCTGTGTTACCGGAGCACATGGGGGTAAGACTGTGGGTGGGGGCAAGAAAGGGCTTCCCATCTCCTGAGGGGAGGACTAGCTGAGAGGCAGGGCCAGCTCCAGCACACAGCAGGCAGGACCAGGCACCCTCTCCCCGCCAGGCATCTGCTCTTCCCGACTCAGGGCCCTCCCAAGCACTCACAAGATTTCTTCCAGGGCTGGGCAGAGCATGAGGCTGGTGGCAAGGTGCTTGGCAGCTTGGTCATCAATTTTGCAGGAAATCAGGCTGGGATGGAATGGTGATGTCCCTCTGAGACAGGGGCCACCACTAGCAGGACCCCCCCTTGCCCATAGTGAGAGCAGGAAGGCCCAGAGTAGCCTGGCCAGGGCCAGGGGTTAAGTCTTAGAAAATCATCTTTTCTCCTAGCCCCCAGCTCCAACTCCCCTCTTTTCAATGGCCTTCGTGGGTATGAGTTCACTGAAAAAGAGCTGTGGTCCTTTTGCAGGGCCCCTGGCAACGCGGACAGGCTACTTACTCAATTTGCCTGAGCAGTGGGAGACTCTTGCAGAAATGTGGGACACTTCCAGCCAGGTTATTCTCTGCCAAGCTGTGGGGCAGGGTAGACACAAGTCAGAACTGCCCGAGACCCTCCCCAACCTGTTCCTCAGCACAGGCAGGGCTCCACCTCACCTGAACTCTTCTAAGCGTGGGCATCGCTCCAGGGCCCGGGCCAGGCACAGGGCCCCCTCTGGACCCAGATGGCTGGATGGCAGACTGGAAAGAGAAAGGCGAGAGGAGTCTGGGGCCAGCTCTGGGGGTTGGGAGCCCTTCCCTTAGCCTCACGTTCTTAGCTGTGCCGCAGACTACAGCAGCAACCTTAGCTGGCCTCTGACTGTCTCTCCTCAAGAAGGACCCAGTGAATGCCACGGTCCCTCCCTGACTTAGGGGGACTGAGACACTAAGTCCAAGCCTTGGCTTCTTTGTGTATTAGAAAGTCAAGCTTCCTGCACTGTTTCTAGTCTTAGCTCTCTTCCTAGAAAATGGAACACACAAGATCCCAGCCCCAGGGCTGCACGGGACTCAGGAAGCCAGGAACTTGACCTGAAGAGGACAGAACAATGCACTTGGAGCTTTTGCCTGTGGCCTTTTGCTGACATTTGTTGGAACACCCTCAGAGACTTGCTTTCAGGCAGGAAAGCTTGGCTTGGTGACATCTTTTTACAAGTGAGGAAAAAGGCTCAGATGGGGCAGAAACTTGGCTAAGGGCTCACAGGGACAGTGGGTAGGGTCAACATTAGGCTTAGTCTGGGGGCTGGGGAGTGGCAGCAGAGAAGGGGCCATGCTGATCTCAGGCTAGGCTGCTCAGCCTATGGCTTGCTTGGATCCCACTTCTCCTGGGTTCCTTCAACACTGCTGTGTGCACAGTCGGGGGGGGCACTTACCGTAGAACCCTCAGTTGTGGGGGCAATCTCTGAGCCAGCCCCAGGACTGTGGGATCCCCCAGAGCGTTGTTGCCCAGTCTGAAAGAAGAAAGGGCGGGGCGATGAACCACTCATCGTTCTGAAAGGACAGGTGGGCTGGGGGCCCTGTGGGGTACTCCACCTGGATACTGGATAGATACTCACATGATCTCCTCTAAGCACTTGCAGTGGATGAGAGACTTGGCCAGTGGCTCTCCCCCCGCTGGGCCAATGCTGTTCCCTGAGAGACTATGAAAGGCAGGTTATTGGACCCTCTTCTTCCTCATCCCTCCCCACTACATTTGTACAAGAGATGCAGTCACGCCACCCTCCCCACCCCGATAGAATACAAAGACCCAGAGAACAGGGTCTAGGAGGTCACAAATCTCCCCTCTCCAGGCACCAAAGCAGGGAGAGATTCCCTTTGTAGTGCTGGCCTGGGCCAGGGGCCAGGGTCTCTTAGGAGCATGGCATGGTCCTGCCGGCTCTCTTCAGTAGGGCTGAGACTTACTCTAACTTCCTGAGCCCTGGAAGACCTGGCAAGATGGCAGCTAAGTTCTGGGAACCCGCGTCTCCAATCTGGTTGTGCCTTAAGCTTGGGGAGAAAAACAAAGACGAAGAACCATGAGCTTGCCACCCACCTCGCCTTGCCCGTACCCTTCCTGGTTAAGACACACAGCGAGAGGCCTCAGTTCATACAGGAGTTTCATTATCCCACGCTTGGATGGGACTCCTAATTCTTGGTGTCACCCTAAAATCTTTCCTGACACTCTCGCATACCTTCTTTGGGAGTCCAAGGCTGTCCCTTGGAGTTGCTTTTGCAGCGTGGAAGCGAACGGCTTACTTGAAGAGATCCCCCTCCTCCCCATCATTTCTCCCTGACAGAGTTGCTTGGAATCTGGGGGAGGGGCAGGCAACTTGTCCCAGCTCCTCCAAGCTGTCAGCAGCTCTGAAGGGTTTCAGAAAGGCATCAGCTGTCATCACCAATCCATTCCTGCTCAGCCTGGACACAGAGGACAGGCCTGGAGGAGCACAAGGGCTCTTGCAGGTGTTGTGTGCGAAACTCTATAGACTGCCAAACCCATATCCATCCAGAAACTCATATGCCACTCATAAAACTCTGGAGGAAAGTAAGTGGAGTGACAATGACAGCTCCCAGTGTCCCAGGTAAGAAAACCGAGCTGCTAGAGACTCACAGAGACTTGCAGGCAAGGCGGCAATGCCCAAAGCCCAGGCCTGGAACAGACTACAACCCCCAGCTTTGCCTTATTTGCCTGGACCCCATCAACAGGGTTCCCCAAGTGAGTCTGGCAGGATGGAAGCTCATGTGGATTCCCCCGCTAAGGCATCTGAACTGAAAGGGGGCTTTCTCTGATATTATTACTCTATTACCTCCACCTCCACCACCACCACCACCACCATAACCACACCCACATTACCACCATCACACCATCATTACCACCACTACACCACCACCACCAACAACAACAACTACCAACTACCAACCTCCACCACCACCGCTACCATCACCACCATCATCATCACTGCCGCCTTTTCGGCACCTGGACTAGCCTTCCCTGCATGAGAGGCAAAAGCTATGCTAAACTAAAAATAAACTAACCTGCCCAGGCAAATGGTTTGCCCTCTTGTTACGAGGGCTGTTTCCTTCTCACATTAAAGTCCAGCCAACTGCCTTGTAGAGGATTGACTTTGGATCTTGTGTGTGCCACATATATCCTGCAGCATGCTAACCATGGGGGGCTCTGCCAGAGTCAGGTGGGCCTGTGACAGAACCAAATGCCTGTGGCACAGCTGAGGTTTGTTTGAGTCACAAAAGTTTGCGCTTGGGGGAAACACCACATCATAAAAGAGTGTGGCATTCTCCTATCGACTTGGCAGGGGTGGTGTCCCAAGTGAGGACTAGTCCAGCCCCTCTTCACAAAGTGTGGTCTCTGGCCCATAAAACTGTCACCACTAAGGTGCTCATTGGAAATACCATGCAGGCACCAGTACCTGTGCTGTCCAGGTACTCTACACAAATCTACAGAGAATCCTATGCATGTGCAGGGCTTTTATGGGGCTCCAACCCCACTCTGCCAGGTCACTTGTGTGTCCAGGAGGAAGCTGGTGGCCCTAGCAGGTAAGAACAATGGGTGTGCACCCCAAAGAGCGCTGTGATGACCCCGGAGGGAATAAACCTAGGTTCCAAAGGAGGTACCCAGTGTTTCCCTGGATGGTGTCCCAACAGTCTTCTTACTCTTTCTTTCCCAGGGGTCACTAATTACTCACCAAAGGTGCTGCAGAAGGGTCATGTGGCTTAGTCCTTGAATGAGCAAGGCCAGAGAGGAGGCTTCCAGCGGAGAGTGACTGAGGCTAGAGAGAGGAGACCTGGTGAATTTTGCATGTCTGGGATGCAGACTGAGGCCCTGTCCAGACAGACTCATGAGGCCTCTGCACTTAGCACACCCACAGCCATCCAATGTAAAGTGTGAAAGGCAAATGGCACCCAGAAATTGTGCATGGGTTACTGAGTCACAGGGCCAGTGGTTCTGTGTTCTCAACCATGTGCGTAGACTGTGCAATAACAGAGATCACATAATAGCGGCCAAAGACTGGGCTTGGGCCATCTTGAAACGTGGGTGCACCGCCATCTCCATTCTGCACATGAGGAGCACTGAGGCTCAGAAAGGAAGGGGGTCTACTCAGGGTCACAAGGGAGAGCAGCAGCAGCAAGGATAGAACCGAAAACCTCAGGACCCTTTCCAGGGCCCCAGTCATGTGTTACCCACTGGCGGGCAATCCCAAGGCCTCCAGCTTGAGCACAGAAGGGAAGAATGACGGTATTAGCCAGGCTTCCACCGAGAGAACTCAGTGAGCTTCTGTTCACAGCCCTCATCGTGCATCATTTCACTTAATCCTCATAATCCCAGAAAATCAAAGCTCGGAAAGAGGACTTAGCCTAGACAGGTGAAGAGTGTGCCCAAACCAGCACGGCAATGTGGCAGCAGGACTTGGCCAACTGCCTTGGTTTCCTAGAGCTAGAGTTCTTAAGGACACATGATCAGTGATGAAACTGACAAAGCCTCAGTCAACAAAGACAGTCAACAAGTCTATCAAGAGCCTGTCCACAGTACGGGGATGGCATAGTTCTGTTCAGGGTCCACTTAGAGCCTATTCACTGTACCAGGATGGTGTGGGTCTGTGTAGGGTCCACTTAGAGCCTATCCACCATACCAGGATGGTGTGGGTCTGTGTAGGGTCCACTTAGAGCCTATCCACCATACCAGGATGGTGTGGGTCTTCACAGGGTCCACTTAGAGCCTATCCACCATACCAGGATGGTGTGGGTCTTCACAGGGTCCACTTAGAGCCTATCCACCATACCAGGATGGTGTGGGTCTGTGTAGGGTCCACTTAGAGCCTATCCACCATACCAGGATGGTGTGGGTCTTCGCAGGGTCCACTTAGAGCCTATCCACCATACCAGGATGGTGTGGGTCTTCGCAGGATCCACTTAAAGCCTGTCCACCATACCAGGATGGTGTGGGTCTTCTCAGGGTCCACTCTCTTAACCTAAGAAGTGGGTGAGGACAGCTGGAAGAAGCTGGCTGGGTTTGAGGGGAGCTGCCAGTGGCAGAAGACATGGACCTGACAGATCTGGCTTCTGCATTTAGAGGACCCACCCCCTTCTTCCAGAGAACAAGGAAGAGGTAAGGAGCAGCCTGAGTGTCTGGGACTCAAGCCTGAGGGTGATGGGCAGGATGAGTCATCCTACAGAACCACCAACCCCTAGCCCTGGCCAAGGCTTCGGGGCCACACAGATGAATGAATCAATGAATGACCTTTTGGGCCTTTTAGCCCACAGATAAAGCTTCTGGAAAATTCCAGAAGGTTGAGCAAGTAGTAAACACCTGGGGAAAGCCCAAGCAACAGCTCCATGGAAAGATGGGGGTGGGGTGGGGAGCTTGGTTTCCTAATGGTTCAAGGTTTCCTAATGTCTCCCATCCTCTCTGTTTCCCCCTAGATGACCTAGGAGGGACACACTAGGGACACATCATAGCAATGGGATGAAAGACAGGGGGCTGTTTTTCAACTCTGTGCAGCACATATGCGGAGAAAAAAATCTGGAAAACAGTTCACATACTGACTGTTCTGGGAAGTTTTCTGAAGAAGCTTATCTCTAGGGGATTTCACCCTCTTTGTTACATATTTTTGAAATTATGGAGCTTTTTATAACCAGGGTGTATTTTGGGTCATCAGAAAAACAGATTCAAAGCCGAAAATGAAGTTAAATGTGCTCATAAGATAATGCCTTAACAGGGTCTAAGTGGGATGGGACCATTTCTTTTGGGTTGGGCTGTTTCTGGCATCTCCATGAATTTGATGATTGCAAATTACCAGGGAGAGTAAAAGTAGACAGTTACTAAGAAACAACCTCGGCTGGCAAGATGGCTCAGTAGGTAAAGGTGCCAAGCCTGAGGACCTGAATTTGATCCCTGAATCCCATGGTGGAAAAGAGAGACTCCCTAAGGCTGTTCTCCGACCTCTGACTGCTCACCATGGCGTGTGAACATGCACGTGCGCACACACAAGCGCAATGTAGGAGGGAAGGATGGACGGGCAGATGGACAGAAGGAAGGAAGGAAGAGAGGAAGGAGGAAGGGAGGAAGGGAGGGAGGGAGGGAGGAAGGGAGGGAGGGAGGAAGGGAGGGAGGGAAAAGGGAGGGAGGGAGGGAGGGAGGAAGGGAGGAAGGGAGGGAGACAGGGAGGGAGGGAGGAAGAAGGAAGGAAGGAAGGGAGGAAGGGAGGGAGGAAGGAAGAGAGGAAGGAAGGAAGGAAGGGAGGAAGGGAGGGAGGAAGGAAGAGAGGAAGGAAGGAAGGAAGGAAGGAAGGAAGGAAGGACAGCGCTGAGCACAGGAAGGGGTTCCGCTGACAGTTTGTGTCCTCTCTTCTGTAACAGCATCTGAGTCACCACTCTTCCTAAGTCCAGAGGACAGCATAGGCCTTAGATCTCAGTTAGCCAATGAGAATTCAGAGGCAGGTGTGTGACCTGAGTTCACTCAATCCATCTCCCAACTGAGCACAGGGAGAAATGTGCTCCTTTCCCCCAAGGGAAAAGAAAGACGTGGCGGGTGCTGGTGGGCCGGCACAGACCAGTAACTGGCCCATGGGTCCAGCCGCGCCTGGAGTTAGTTACCCTCTTGCCCTGGCTGCTTTGACTTGGGGATTATGTTTCCAGATTATGACACTCAGCTGAGCAGGGAAGGGAGGTGGGGAGAAGTCATCCCGGGACTAGAAGGTACATTCAGAGGAGGCGGGGGAGGGGGGAGAGACAGAGACACAGAGAGACACAGAGAGAGGCAGTGGATCCGAGCACATTTCATACACTCCTCTGCATGGTCCCCACTCATTCCCCCCTATTCCCAGCTGACTTCCTCACTCACCCCTCCCATGCACTCCCCGTCTGCTCCTCTCCCATCACTCTCCATGCACCCTCCTCCCCGTTGGCCTCCCCTCACTTACTGCAGCCTCTTTAGCTTGCAGGTCCCCTGAAGGGCTGCCATCAGTGGCTCTATGTTCTCCTCATAGAGATGGTTGTTGGAGAAACTGCAGGAGCCAAGCAGAAGGTTCCATTCAGGCAAGTGTCCTGGACAGGTACTTTTCCCAGATCTTGGAGAGGCACTGTCCCATCTGTCCCCTGCCCCTTGACCCTGGGGAGGCTGACTGGGTTGCAGATAATAGGCTAGACTTTCTGTGGCGCTCCTACCCCAGGAGCATTCCTGGTCCCAAGGGCCAAGCTCTAGGGTCCCTGCAGGAGTGGTGGCAGCCACAGCCGGATCAGATAAGGAGGATGTCGGGTGAAGGCTACAGAGAGGATGAGGGACATGCAAGCATACAGCGACTCTGCTGTCCCTTAGTGCTTTCTGCACGCTGGCATTCATCACCAGCGGAGGCAGAGGCATACTGGAGTACTGTTTTGACAGATGTGCAGTCCCAACCACGGGGAAGAAGAAAAATCTAGCCAGAGACACCCCATGGGTCCAGGGTAAAGGTGAGACCAGGAACACAGTGTTCAGCCGGAGGACTACTAGGCTTGGTCGGGGAGAACAGAGACAGGTGGAAGGGCCTCTGTCACCCTAGCAGAGCTGTCCTCCCAGCCCTGCCCTCGGCCAGCCATCCCAACTCACTCCAGCTCTTCCAGATGGTGGCAGTGTCTCAGACCAGATGCCAGGTGGGTGAGGCTCTCTGTGCTTACACAGCTGGAGGTCATCCTGTTGGGGACCAAAGAGTGGCAGGTCAGGCAGAGCCCATGCCTCAGGATATCCAAAATTGATGACAGAGGCTGGGAGTGCTTCTTGGGGAGAGTGGGTAGGGGACACCTGTCCTCCATAAACCTTGGACTAATTAAGTCAGGGTGTGCTGGAGGCAGAAGCTAGGTGTCCTCTACAGTTGGACACCATGGTATATTCAGCTGACACTGTACAGCTCTGCATCCTCTGGGGTCAAAGTCTGATAGCTCCAAAGAGGCTTCGCTTGTTTGTTTGCTTCTTGTTTGCTTTTCTGAGGCAGGGTCTCCCAGTGTAGCCCTGGCTGTCCTGAACTCACAATGTAGACCACGCTAGACTCTACCTCACAAAGATCCGCCTGCCTCTGCTTCCAGAGCTCTGGGATTAAGGGAATGAGCCACGACACCGAGCTCAAGTTCATGAGTTTTTCTTGCTTGTTTTAAAATTTTTCCTCCACTTAGATTTTTTCATGTTATTTTACTTATTTATTTATAAAAATTTGTTATGGGGAAAATAAGGAAAACTCCTGAGAGTGGGAGAGGTTCCAAGGGAAAAATACCAAGTGTCTCTATCATTTAAAAACTATGGTTTTATTTATTTATCTAGTGTGTGGGTGTGTATGTCTGTATGCATGCACATGCCATGATGTGTGAATATGGAGGCCAGAGGCCAATTTTGGGGAATTCTTTCCCTCCTCCATGTGGCTCCTGGGGATTAAACTCAGGTCCCCAGGCTTGGAAGCAAGAGCCTTTACTCACTGACACATGCCACCACCAGCCAAGAGTTTCTTGACGTAATCAGTTCACTGAACATCAACAAATTCCTTTTGAGTTGGGTATGGGGGCTCATGCTAGTAATCTTGGCAGTCAGAGACCAGGACAGGAGGATGGAGAGTTCGAGGCTAGCCTGGGTTACACATTCACACCCTTCCTCAAAATCAAACCAAACCCAACCAAACCAAAGCTCCATTTCAAAGTCTTCATTCTGATAATTAATTCAGGCAAGATTTACCAATAGATGCCAAACTTTGTGGAGGAAAGTCTGAAGGACTGGATAGTGACTCTGAAGTTATCTTCCTACAAGACATGTGTCAATCACAAAGAGAAACAGTAATTTTGCAAGTGAAGGAACTTGGCAGACACCACCTTACAAGGTGACCCAGTGAGTGTCTGCAGTAAAGGGACACACACATGTGTGCCTCTGATAAAAGGTGAAGAGGAATACAGACGGCCTGGGTGGGAGTCCTGTTATAAATGCAGGCTCTAAAGCTAGGCAGACATAGGCTTAAGGATACTCCTGCCTGTAGATGTCAAAGACAGTGAGTGTCTAGAAAGACACAGGCAGTGGAAGGGAACACACACACACACACACACACACACACACACACACACACACACACACACACACACACGCACGCACGCACGCACGCACGCACGCACTGAAGTTCATACTTTCCTAGATTATGGCAAATGACACTCTGATTCTTGGGACAGTTCTAGTGGTTAAAGAAGAAAAAGAGGATAAAAGAAGGAGGAGAGAGGAAGGGGAGAAGGAGGGAAGGGAACAATGTGAAACTATTAACAGAGAGATTTAGGGTAAATTCCCCATCCTACAAGTTTTTCTTTTTGAGATAAGATTTCCAGGTTGCCTCAGTTACTTGTGCTTTGTAACCTTTTATTTGCAGTTATTCCAGAAGAAAACAAAACGAAATAGAGCGTGGAGAAGGGAATACTTGTTGTTTGTTTGTTTGTTTTTTCAAGACAGGGTTTCTCTGTGTAGCCTTGGCAGTCCTGGAACTTGCTTAGTAGACCAGGCTGTCCTTGAACTCATAGAGATCTGCCTAACTCTGCCTCCTGAGTGCTGGGATTAAAGTTGTATGTATGCCACCACTGCCCAGCTGGGAATACCTTTTTAGTTGTATGACTGTGTGTCTGAGGTCACATTTTGGACCCTGTAGCCTTAGCATCATCTCCAGGACCCTGAGGCTTTAGCACAGGGTGGGACCAGCATCCTTTGGGCCTGGAGCTTAGGATCAGGTGGAGTGGGCAGGCAAGGGGACCCCCGTGAAAACGCAAGTCCACATACCGGAAGCTCTTGAGCTCACTGCTAGACAGCAGGAGGTTCTGCAGCAGCCCAGACCTGGCGTCATCGTCGTCTTTGAAGTTAACCTGAGACAAGCTGAAAAGCACCAAGAATATTCTGGAAGACTGCAGGCTGGGCACACTTCGGGGGTCACCATGAGGGAAAGACCCTCTAAGAGCTCTCCTGGGCCCAGGTTTGAGGCCCACCCCAGGGAAGTGAGAATATGGCCCGGGGAAGACGTTGGGGTAACTGATGAACCTGAAGCCACCACTAGCTTTGGCAGTGCCAACCTGAGCTGTTGCAGTCTGGCACACGTCTCCTTCAACTGTCTCTTAGGAAGACTGTGGTCAGCCCCTGGGTCACAGTGAGCCAACCTGGAAGCAGAGAGGGAAGCCACAGTTTCTGAGCTCCTGGTTCTCGATGGGGGTCCAGCCCCTGCCTTATGCTCATGGCAAAGGGTAAATACATGTTAGTTAAAGAGTTTACTACCAAGTTACAGGCACAACTGGGAAGGGTAGTCCAGGTGGGCGGCTGGCATGCCCAGGCAGATCGTTGGCTACATGAGGGTAAGCATGCAGACAAGGGCGTAAATTGGGGCTGAGATCCAGTCATGCTCCAGTCCCCAGAATGTATGCATGCAGAGCTGTGTCCACTCAAAAGAGGTGACAGTTCAGTTTCCAAAAAGTATGACATTTGGATCCAGAGGTCATAAATCCAGGCACCTATGAGGGTAGAACGTGGGAGGACTTGGCCAAGTCTTGGCTCGCCACAGTTGAGATGGGGCATTTAAGCTGAAACTCGGAGTATGAAAAAGCATAACCAGATAAAAGAGGAGGAAATTAGTCGGAAACAAGAGCCTGTGCAAAGGGCCTGAGGTTAGGAAGGGCAAGGTGGTGACTGAGGAATTGCGAGTTGGTGGGCTGGGTGGGGCTGTTGGGTTGGAGTGGAGATGGAGAGTGAAGGAGCAGATCTTTCAGGACATGGAGAGACAAAACATCAAAAGACGCTGAGCAGGGGCATGATCATTGCCACGGCCATTCCCCCGAGGTTCCTGCTGCTGGGTCCCACCTGCTTGCCATGAACTCGGAACTGTCTTCTTGGTGCCGAAATTCCAGCCGGAGCCACAGCTGCCGCTGGGTCTCAGAGAGGCTGAGGGAGAGAAGGGGCAGGGGGAGACACATGGCAGCTTGTCTTGGCAGGTTGAACAGGTCTATGTCTGCCTGCTCTCTGACTCAGATCATGGTACAATAGATCCTCCAGCCCCAAACAAGGGCAAGAACACCTCAAAAATGGGACATGATGCCAAGAACAGACAGCACGATGGTGAAATCTGTTACCACACGTGACCCAACCAAAGCCTTGCTCCCAACCGTCCCCATAGTTTTCTTCCATTCCCATCATTGGTATCTATAGGACGTGTTACTGCACCCCAGGCCACTTCTGGGTAGCAGCATGGACCCCCAGGCTTGCCTGCCTGGACCTTGATCCTTGAGTTTCCTTCCTCTGACTTTGTGACCTGCTTACTGCATGAGATTACATAAATATGTAATCTAAACAAATGTTGTATACTAAACAAATGCATATAGCTCTTTAGGAATGTCCAGGAGTCTCTGCCAGTGACAAAGCTGTTAACCTACAGGACAAGACACCAGTTTCTAGAGGACTGAGGGTAAGGAAAGGTTGCAGTGGTCATAGAAAGGTGAATTCCCAAAGGTTCCTCTCTGGACTCACCTTAACTCAGTGAGACATCCTGAGGCCTGGGCACAGACGTCCATCACAGTCAGTAAGCTGATGTGACCCACCCAGGGCTCTTCTAACCTGTCACGGAAGGGACACAGGCAAGGACCCCTGGGCTGAGCATCAACCTATACCTGAGCAATACCTGGGGGAAGGCTAGTGTCACAAGGAGCCTCGAAGATTGTGTGTATGTGTGTGTGCTCGCACACACGCAGGTGATTTTTAAATTATAAAATCAGGACTGACAGGACTGAGGATATACTCAGTTGGTACAGTATCTGCTTCCAATGTATGAGACCTTGGGTTCCATCCCCAGCACCACAAAAGACCAGGTGTGGTGGTGTATACCTATAATCTCACCACTCAGGTGGTGGAGGCAGGAGGATCAGGAGTTAAAGGTTATCTGGGGATGCTAACATCTCTAGCTCCTGTCCTCCTTAGGAAGGGATTGCAGCAATTACAGATGCACTCCACGACCAGTTTTATACAGATCTGGAGATCTGAATGCAGACTCTCTAGTTTCCAAGCCATCTCCCCAGCCCAATGAGAGTTTTTGGATATTTTTCAAATTTAACACACGTTGTTATGTGGTAAAGGCAATGAAACCAAAACATACGTAAACTATAACTCCAATTCCGTATTTAAAAGAAGGAAAATGAGGTGGAGTTAGACACAAGGAAAATGTATGGACTATCCTCGGCACTGGTTAGATGGAAGAATTTTCATGAGCGATTTTATTTTGATTTTAGTTTTCTTTTTTAATGACTTGTTTTTTATTTTATGTGCATTGATGTTTGCTTACATGAATGTCTGTGTGAGGGCATTTGATTCCCGGGAACTGAAGTTACAGATGGTTTTGAGCTGCCATGTGGGTTCTGGGAATTGAACCCAGGTCTTCTGGAAGAGCAGCCAGTGCTCTTAACCACTGAGCCACCTTCCCAGCCCTTGATTTTGGTTTTCTACATTTTATAAACTTTGATTTTTGTTTGTTAGTTTTTTTAGAACAGGGTTTCTTAGTGTAGCCCTGACTGTCCTGGAACTCATTTTGTAGACCTGGCTGGCTTTGAGCTCAGAGATCTGCCTGCCTCTGCCTCCTGAGTGCTGGGATTAAAGGTGTACACCACCACTGCCCAGCTCATTTTCTAAGCTTTGTGCAAAATGCACAAATAAATTTAGTAGTATGGAAAAAGAGTTTATTTTTTTAAAAAAATTCCTGCTTTATAGTTTAGTTCCATTATATTTTTGGTTGTGAGCCTAGCCTTTAACCGCTGAGACATCTCTCCAGTACTAGTTGCATTACTTTTTTAAGCATTGTTTTCCTTTAGGCTAGCCTGGATTTTCCACCAATATGTAAAATGTTACTTTTGGGCTTGGAAAGCTTCACTTTAAAGCATTATTTGGGTGATCTAGGAAAGGACTGAAAGCGGGGACACAGTCACATTTGCACACCCACATTCACAGCACTTGGTTGAAAGGCAGAAGCGGCCCGAGCGTCCATCAGCAGGTGAAGGAGTAAACTGTGATGGACCCAGATGCTGGCTACTAATCAGCCTAAAAAGGAAGGCCCGCACCTGCAGCAACACAGGGAACCTTGAAAACAAGGCCCGTGAAACAGTCAGCCACCAAAGGGTAAACACAGCAGGATTCTACCCATAGGAAGTGACTGCAGGAGTCCGGTTCACAGACTGTTCCTGCCAGAGGCTGGGGTAAGTGGGACACTAGGAACTGTTCTTTGGAGATAAGGCTTCGGTTTTGCAGGATGGAGACTGGTTGCTCATCAGGCTGAAAGTCTTTAGTATTGCCGAGCTGTACACTTAACTGTGTTAGGGTGGCTAATTTCTTTTTTACTTTTTTGTTATTTCATGTTTTTATTTTTTACTTAAACCTCTCTCCCTCCCTCCCCTCCCTCCCTCCCTCGACAGGGTCTCATGTAGACCAGGCTGGCTTCAAACATTCTAGGCAGTCAAGGCTGTCCTTGATCTCCCGATCTGGGAATTGCAGGCTCATGACAGCACTCACACTGGTTTTACTATAATTTTAAGAAATGTGATTTCTTACGTCTTAAAAAAGAAAGTAAGCAGCTCTCACGTGCCTTTCTTGGGGCTACAGTCAGTGATGTGCAGCGCTGCCCATGAAGCCAAGTTTTGGGGTGAGTTTGTTTGCTCACCTCATGGAGTCTTCTGACAGAGTTACCACTCTAGGAAAGGTAGTGGTTAACCCCAGCGCACAAGCACAGCCCAGAGCCATGGACCAGGAGTGCCCAGGAGCCTGTGTGGACTTGGGCCTCACATGTAAGGACCAGGTGAGAATTCCATATTGAATCAGATAATGCATGGCCCTAAGGGTTGCCAGTAGAGTCCTTAGGGGTCCTGGGTGAACTAGAATCTTTATTTATTTGTGCACGTGTGTTTATGTTCCTCTGTTGTGTTGACTTAAATGAGAAGTGTCCCCCCCATCCCCTCAGGCGTTTGAGCACTTAGTCTCCAGTAGTCACTGTTTAGGAAGGTTTAGGAGGTGTGGCCTTGTTAGAGGGCGCCATTGGAGGTGGGCTTTGGGAGGCCACAGCCTCACCCCACTTCACCTTCTCGTCCTCTGCTTTGTGCTGTCTTAGCCTCCTGGAGCTACTGCATCTGCAGCTGGCAGCCCCGCCATGATGGACTCTGTTTTTTGTTTTGCCTTAGTTTTTAGAGACAGGGTTTCTTTGCATAACAGCCTTGGCTGTCCTGGAACTCACTCTGTAGATCAGACTGGCCTTGGACTCACAGAGACCCACCTGCCTCTGCCTTCCGAGTGCTGGGAATAAAAGTGTGCGCCACCACCACTCAGCTCATGATGGACTCTTAGGAACCGTAGGCAAAATAAATTCTTTCTTCAAAGTTGCCTGTGGTCATGTTTTATCACAACAGGAAAAGTAACCATGCGTGCATGGGTTCGGGTTCCAGGGTGTGCCCGTTTGCATGTGGGTGAGTGCATGTGCACTCCTGCATTTGGAGGCCAGAGGACAACCTCAGACACTGTTCCTCAGGACATCCATCTTGTTCTTAGAGACAGGGTCTCATTGGCCTAAAGCTCGCCAAGTAGGCCAGGCGGGCTGGCCAAGGAGCCCCAAGGGTCCTCCCATCTCTGTCTCCTCACTGTTGGGGTTACACCCTCTTTCATTTCATGGGGTTTTAGTTCTGGGGCTGACTTTGTGTGGCAAGGCAAGCATTTCACTGACTGAGACACCTCCAGCCCCCGATTTTTAAAGAGACTCACAGCGAGATGTTTAGAAGAGGCATTTTTATGAGGTCTGTGTTTTACTTTAAAACACATTTAACTCGAAGTAAATATGGAAGAAACTGAGCAATTACCAAACACGGGAAATGGAATGTGGGTTTTCAAAGATGACTCTCTCCTTTTTTAAAATGCATTCTTTTTCTGAATGCTTTCACATTACAGTGGACATACAGGCATATTTTATGTTCCATTAGGTATCCTTCAGAGCTTTTTTTTTTACAATGAAATAAATTATATATTTATATATATATGTAGTTTGTATATATGCATATATACATATATCCTTCAGAGCTTTCTTTAATTATTTATAACTGATTTTAATTATTATTTCCTTTGTGGTGTTTGAGATGAAACCCGGGGCTTCATATATGCCAGAAATGCTCTACCAACTGAGCTATATGCAAAGCATCATTTATCTTTTTAAACCCCAAAGCACAGCCTCCCTGTCCTCAGGGACAGTTTCTCTGTGTTCCTGGCATGGCTCTGAGGCAGGGAGTGGCCAGGCTATGACTGTAGTGACCCCCACCTTCCTCAGCTTCCCCACTCCCCTCCCAGTGAAGGAGGGTACCTGAGGCCCAGCAACCCTGCTGGCCGAGTCACCAGATTCAGGAGGTTCGTCAGCTGTGGCAGGTCCAAGTGGCACCTGGTCAGCCTGGGGACAGAGATCAGTTATTGGTAGGCTCAGGCCGGCAGGGTGCCCCACATGTCAGTGGGCTGGGCCTGTCACTCACGTGAGCTCGGTCAGCTGTCGGGCCTGGCTCAGGCTGGAAGCCATTCTGGATACATGTTCTGGGCCGAAGCTGCACTCACACATCCTGAGGGGAGAAGGCAGGGCTGAACCTGAGGCTTGCACAGCTGGCCTCTCTCCTGGGATCCCCAGAGGACACAGGCCTAGGCCGGAGCCTACACAGACAACAGGTGCTGGGGGCACTGCCCTAGGAGCTGGGAGTTAGTCACTTGTGGAGCATGACGCACGGGCACAGTGCCAGCCTCCAGGCACAGGGCGCCCGCCTGCTACACATCTCATTTAGACCTCACGGTACATGGTAGGCAACCACGGACTAACCCCCCCACACACACACAGCTGCTGGGTTATTTCTGGGGAGGGAAAGCTGGCTTTGGCAGGGTCAGCCTGACTCTGTGACTAATGGGGTAGTTCAGGCTCCCTGTGTAGAGGGTGAGCCTAGACATTGGCTGTGACCCTGCTCCCTACTGCCTACAAATAAGCTAGGTCTATTGTCTCTGAAAGGGGGCTGCAGGATCCCCCAAAAAGGTTCACTCTGATATCAGGGCCACTGGTGCTCCATGGGCCTCTAGGAGAGGATGCTACATAAGCTGGCCTTAAAGGTTAGGAAAACTTTATCTAAGAAGCAGCAGGAGAAGAGAATGCCTGACTCACGGCCATTGTGAGCAGTGCAGGAAGGCCTCATCAGGCAACGGGTGCTGGGGGATGCAGAGCATCCTGTGTGTGTGTGTGTGTGTGTGTGTGTGTGTGTGTGTGTGTGTGTGCGCGCGCGCGTGTGCGTGTGTGCGTGTGTGCATGTGTGCATGTGTGTATGTGTGAGCGTGTGTGTATGTATGTAGTGTATATCTTGCGTGTATAGTCTATGTGTGATATGTGGGATAGTAGTGTAGGTATGTCATGTTGTGTATCTGTACATGTGTGTATTTTGTGTATTGAATAATATGGTATAATGTAGTTTATGCAATGTAGCGGATGGAATGGGGACATTGGTGCTCATCAGGAGACCAAACCTGGGCTGTAAGTCAGAAGCGGGCCATCTTAGAGGAGAACCCATCCAGGAAGCCGCGGTTCCTCACAGACCAGAATCCCTGCCTTTTTTTCTGCTCAACACCCCACCTAGGATTACCTCAGTTTTGTCCCCGCTTCTTCCTCCTTGGACAAGCGTATCCGGAAGTTCTGCTCAGAGTCCAGACTGTGAGAAAAGAGAGCAGGAGGCATGAGCCAGCATTCTGGGCACCCCGGGCACCGAGTGGGTGCAGAAGAGAAGGCTGAGGCCCCAGGGAGCAGGGCAGGTCTTAGCCACACATTCTACAAGGACTAGGTTCTGTGTACCTGGCTTCTCCACCCTGGTGGCATCCCACTGGGGACAGACTCAAAACCACAAACATAAAGCTGCAACGTGGTGGTCTTGTACCCCACCATTAGTCAGCAGTTAGCAGTTTACCTCACAGAGATCTCACAGACACGAGGGCAGGAAGGCAGGGCCTCCAGCAGGCACAGGACCCCTTCCTGAGAGATTCTGTTGTGACTGAGGCTAGGAGAGAAGCGAAATTCAGCAGGGTCCTGCACCCTTCCTGCCCTCCCATTTCAATGTCCAAGCATCCATTCTCCATATGACAGAGAGAGAGAGAGAGAGAGAGAGAGAGAGAGAGAGAGAGAGAGAGAGAGAGAGAGAGACCTAGAAGGGACACTACCCTACTACCCTACACAGGAAAGGCACCTGGCTCCAAGTCCCTGAGAGCTGCCCCTACTGAGCCTGCAGTTCCTGTGGTATGGGACATTGAGGAGCCTGATCAGGCAACTCCATCCCTAGCAGGGCCAGGGACTCCCAGAGTACCCAGTTCAGTTGCCTAGCAACAGGCTGTATGAGGAGATGAAGTGAGAGTGGATGACTTCACTATCCCTTGCTGCGGGTCCTTTTCCAAACTTGTGTCTCACAGATGGGGTTTCAGGAGTGGGGTCAGCCAGGAGCTGGTTGCTACGGCCCCACATCACTTGGTAGGGGTAGCTTGGTGCCGGGTGCATGACGGAGGGAAAGGTCTACTCTACCACAAGCTCTAACTTATCTTGAGTGTCTGACACAGAATCTGCCCTTGGTGGGGAAGAGAGAGGAGGCTGTGAGAGACAGGTCCAGGTAAGAGCCACCCCTCCCCATCACTGGCCCCTGTTCTCGAGATCCCTCGAGATGTTCTCTAGAGAGGCCCATTTGTGCTCATGTAGAAGTGGGGGATCTCCCTGGCTGTCTCACTTACTCAAGCCACCCACAGATGGGCAGCCGTGGCAGGCATTCCAGAAGGCACCTGAGTCCATTGTCATCCAGCAAGTTGTTTGTGAGGCTGCAAGGAGGAAGGAACAGTGTTAGTGATCCCAACTCCAGCTCTGCCTTCTCGTCATGGTCCCCATGGCTACTAATTGGATGCCACTTCTGCTTGTCATCACCATGGCACCAAAAACTCCACCACCAGAAGCACCAGTGCTGTTCTGAGCTACCACACCCATCACCCCACTGCGAGCATCACAGTCCCCGCTGCTCCCCTTATGGGCACCACAGTAATCCTGTGTTTACTGTATTCTCATCACCCACTATCTGTGGCACTCACAGGGCTCAAGTTCCTCTAGCAGGCTTTTAGGAGTTAGAAAAAAAAAAACTAATGAGTTTTCCCCTGCCCGTGGCAGCTAGAATTCACAATTTCCCAACAAGAGTGAACCAGGGAAGGGACAAATGTTTGGAGGGTGCAATTACCTAACCGGTTTCCTCCTGTAATTTAGGAATCTGACATCAGAAATCATCAGAAACTACCTGAATACCATCCCTACTCCCTCTCCTGATAGCATCTCTGGTCTCAGCCACAGCTTCAGAAACGTAACCATGGTGTCCTGAGCATCTGATTTCCCATCTACATTTCTGACACTTAAAAGAGATAATTTATTTTGTTTTATGTGTATGGGTGTTTGCTTACATGTATGTATGCCTACTGCATGTGTGCCTGGTGTCTATAGAGGGGTCAGATGCCCTGAAACTGGGGTTCCAGCCCATTGACAGCTACTATGTGGGTTCTGGTAACAGTCTGGGGTCTCAGCAAGAGCAGCCAGTGCTCTGAACCATCATTCCAGTCCTATATCCCTGACACTCGTTTATCTGGAATTTTCTGGAGAATTTCTTTTTAAAAATTGCTTTGTAAACCGGGTGGTGGTGGTGCACACCTTTAATCCCAGCACTCGGGAGGCAGAGGCAGGTGGATCTCTGTGAGTTCGAGGCCAACCTGGTCTACAGAGAGAGCTCCAGGACAGCCTCCAAAAGAAAAAACAATATAGAGAAACCCTGTCTCTAAAGATAAGCATTCAACACAAGTCACACATCACTTCACAAGTCCCCACCCTGGCTGGCTCCAGGTTCTTCTTCAGCCTAGCCATTTGGTCCTTTTTACCATCTGCCAGACAAAACAATGCTCCTCTCATTAGCCACCCTGCCCTCCAACCTGCAAGCCCGGCTGTACTGAGCCAGCACATAGGGTGAGGCTCCTGGCACCTTCACCGAAGAGTTGCCCAAGTTACAGGATGGGTGGTTAATCTTCATTGCCAACCTGACTGGATTTGGAATCACCCAGGAGCCACACCCCTGGGCACACCTGTGATGGCATTTCCAGAGAGGCTTAACTGAGGAGGGCAGCTGCCTTGTGCTCATGCTACACCACTGTGCCCTCTCCATCATGGCGGAATGCCGCTCACCCTAACCAGGTGAGTGGCTAGGTGGGACAGTGCCCACCTGTAATCCTAGCATCCTGGAGGTGGTGGCAGGTAGAGCCAAAGCTCACCGTCATCCTTGGCTACATAGCAAGCCTGAGGCCAATCTGGGCTACATTAGGCTCTGCCTGAAAACCCGAGCCAATCAACCACACAGCCCACAAGGCAAAACAACCCTGAATCCCTTCCTTAAGTCACTTCAGTTAGGCATTTTGTCACACGGTGACACCTGACCACGTGGGAGCAGGGGAGAAGAGAAAGCGCAGACTGGGGAGACTCAGAGAGGAAACCCAGAGCCCCACACACCCCTGACAGCTGGTCCTGAGATGGGCAGTGGGGCACACGAGGGTGCCTGCTCTTAAGGACGCTCCCGTTCTCGCACCTGCCCAGCCTCACCCCGGGTGTGCCCCTCTCCGCCCTCCTCCCAACTTACTCAAGCTGGCTGAGGGCTTTGCACCCGCTCAGCACACCGCACAGTGGTTCCATATGCTCCCCGCTGAGGCTGCATCCTGGAAACCTGCGTGGTCCGGTTGGGGACAAGCAAGAGATTAAACATTCAGATACTGGGCCACTTCCAGATCAGCTTTGTCCTGCATTTGGCCTCTGAGCTCCAGGTGTCCTTACAAAAGCCTTTGAAAACACCAGGCACCCACAGCTCCCTGCAGGCCCCTCTGGTGTCTACACACTCCTCCAGGAAGGGGTGCTTCTCAGTGTGGTCCCTACCAGTCTCACCAGAACCATTTGGGAACTCAGGATGAGAATCCCACTAAACCTACAGATCAGAAACTCCAGACCCCAACTCAAGTTCAAGTCCTCCAGATCATTTTAGTAACTGGATTCTCTCCCTCCAATCAGAAAACTCAGGCCGAGGAGGGAGAATAAGGTGGCATCTGTTTATTTTGCGAAGGCTGGGATGTTGACAGTCAGCCTGTCTGTTTTAAAAGGCCTACAGTGAAATCGCAAAGTCGGTTACGTGAAAGGGCCACGGCCAGCAATCTTTGAAAACAAACAAACAACAAACCCTTAAGTTAGAGAGTTGATAAAATTGCTAGCTAATTTAAAAAAATCATTATTACTCTCAATGTTTAAAACCTCTCTTTTATGAGATGGATTTTCTATGTAGCCTAGTGGGGGAAGGGGGGCTTAAACTCATGATCTCCCCAGTGCTAGGATTGCAGGCCTGTGCCGCCACACGTGGCCTCATTATTTCCTATCTAACCCTTTGCAGAGAGACTGTATCTGCCTCTGGGTTTGAAGCAGTCATCAGTCAGAGCTCAGAACCTGCACTCTTCCTCCACTTCATGACCACACTTCAGTGCCCAGCGAGTGCTAGCTAGTCACTGACTGTCATTTCACAGCAAAGAAGGGGACAGCCAAACAGACAGAGCCAAGGTCTCACAGTGGCGTTCAGCTGCCTCTGCGTTCAAGACTGTCCTCCTGCCCTCCAGTACCATCAGGGCTGGCAGGGCACGGTCCCTCATGTCTGTCTGTGCCTGGGGCAGCTTTGCCAATGTTCTGCTGCTCCATAGCTCCCTACTGTATTCAAGGAAACCAACAGCCAAAGGGCAAGAAGCTCCAGGCCCTGGTGCCATTGGGTTGGATGGCAGGATTGGTGGGCAGGTTATAAAGCCCTTTGTGGAGATCTAGCCAGTTTGGACACATTCTCTGTTAGCCTCTGGGCCCAGCTCAGCCCTGTTTGGGCCTTTGATTCTCCCCGTTGGATGAACTAGCTCACATTTGGCAGCAGGCATTCTGTACTCCCCACTGGCCCTGTGACTTAGGTCTGCTTGTCCCCAAGCCCCAATGGATGTCCAGGATGGTTCAAGGGACTTACCCAAAGCACACACCCTCTTGCTCCTCCTTGGAGCCAAAGTGCAGGACAGCATGGCATAGGGACCTGTAGTGACAGTAAACACTCAGTCACCCTTGGCCGTTGCCTCAGGGTGCCCCCAGACTTCAGCTTGGGTACTTCTGATCATTCACACCCTCCAAACATCAGGCTCTACCTTCCAAGACTAGCCCCAGGGCTCCCAGCATGATGCCTACCTGAGATTGACCTTCTGAACCCCTGGGCACAGGTTGAAGACATCGGCCAGCAGAAAGGGGCTTCTTGAAGACAGGACCGTGTGGCTCAGCCTGAGAGGGAAAGGGGCAGGGACAAGCAGGGTCACTGGTCAAGAAACAGCTATGCTGGAGGGGTAGGGAGAAGAGTGTGTCTTGGCTGCTGGCTCAGCAAGGTGCTAGTATTTAGGCATCTGTGCTGGCCTGCTCTCGGAGATCTGACGGGAAATGCCCTCAGCTGCAGCCACTGAGCGCACCGCCTGCCCCTGTTCACTGTGTTCCCTTTTAAAAGGGCCCCGCCCACCTCCCATCCTTCTCTCTTTCGTTCTCTCCCTCTCTCTGTCTGTTCCTTTCTTTTTCTCTCCCCCCCCCCTCTCCCTCCCTCCCTCTCACTGCTCCTGTCCCCGAGGCCGGTCTCCCCCCTACCCTTTTCACAATCCCTTTCCCTTAATAAAAATCCCACTGCTTGAACTGTCACATAGCGTCTTTCTCGAGCTGCTTTTAAGAAAAAAAAATTACAACACAAGGTAACACAGAAGACAACAGGGACTCGAGGGTGTGGGGGAAGGGCGGGGGTGGGAGCAGGCTGCAGGGTGTGAGTTCCAGTTCTCTGACAGCTGTGTGACCTCGAGTAAGCCTCTGAGTCTCAGGCTCCTTCTGGGACAAACGGGATTAAGTGTGGTGTTCTCTCCTCTCCAGCAGATACCCTGCCTGGCAGGCAAGATAGTTTCTATGGCTTAACTTTTCTTTTAAAGGTTTATTTATATTTGTATGCCTCTGTGCGTGTGTCTGTGTGGGAGTCTGTCACCTGTGCGTATGGAGGCGTACTCAAAGCATGCAGAAGGTGTCAGATCCTCTGGGGCTGGCATTAGAGGCGGTTGTTAGCCATCTCATGTGCCGCCCGCCAGACTTGGTTCTTTGCAAGAGCAAAAAGTTCTCTTAGCCACGGAGCCATCTCCAGCCCCTTAAGTTTGCCTCTTCTTCCTTTCTGTGTGCAGTGTTTGCACACGTGTGTGAGCATTTCGTGTGTGTGTGTGCACGCGCGCGCGCGTGTGTGCATGTTCATGCGTGTGCATGTGTGTGAGCGTGTGTGTGTGTGTGTGTGTGTGTGTGTGTGTGTGCATCCTAAGGTTACTATCAGGGATCTTCCTTGATCTCTCTCTCCCACGGTATTCTTTGAGGCGGAGTCTCTCCATTAAATACAGAACTCCCTAATATGGCTGGTCTCCCTAGTTAGGTTGCTCACCTGTGTTCTTTCCGCACAGCTCACAAGCAGCAAGAAGTGAGGGACAGCACAGAGAGATATCCTAGTGACACCCCAAGGGCAGAGTTACCACCAGCTGCAAACTTCAGCCTTGGAGAACTAGATGTGGGTGCGTCTTGCCTGGGGCACAGCTCCCTGCCTTCCTGGTGCTGCTCTTCTAGTCTCTACTCAGCAGCCAGCCTTAGCTTTGGAAAATTCAAATTCCTCTTCTGTCTTTCACATTCCTGAGAGTGAAAACCCAAACCCTCTCTCTGGCTCTCAGGTCTTGATGTCTCTCTCCATTATCTCCTAGCTTCTTCCTGCCAACTAGTGTCTCTGCTCTCATGCCAATCAAGGCTGTTCCTGCAACCCATCAGGCTAGTTGTGCCTCCAGGCTGCAAACATGCTGTTCCCTTCCTGAAATGTAGTTCCCTGCCCTTCACAAGCTCTCAAAGCCAGACCCCTGTTTTCTTTCTTTCAAGTCTATTATGGTAGTTTCAATGTAATTGGTCCCCGTAATCTCATAGGGAGTGGCACTGTCAGGAGGTGTGGCTTTGTTGGAGTGGGTATTGCTTTGTTGGAGGAAGTGTTAATGATGGGGGCCTAGTTTGAGTTTTCCCATGCTCAGGATACCGTCCAGTGTCTCAGCTGACTTCCTGTTGCCTGACAGATGTAGGACTCAGTTATTACTGCCTGCATGCTGCCATGCCCCCCATCATGGTGGCAATGGACTGAACTCCCGAAACTATAAGTGAGTCACCGCAATCAAATGTTTTCTTTATGAGTTGCCATGGTCATGGTGTCTCTTCACCAACAGAAACCCTGACTAAGACACCTACCATCAGCTACCATCACCTCTCCAGCCACTTACCACCGGGAGAAGAGTACCTTGTATCTTGTTACTGGTTACATTCACATATTGATCTTGTGGTTTAGGCCTCTGTCTCTCTGTCTCTGTCTCTGTCTCTGTTTCTCTGTCTCTGTCTCTCTGTCTCTCTCTCTGTCTCTGTCTCTCTCTGTTTCTCTGTCCCTGTCTCTCTCTCTGTCTCTCTGTCCCTGTCTCTGTCTCTCTGTCTCTGTCTCAGTCTCTGTCTCTCTGTCTCTCTCTCTCTCCTTCCCTCCCGCCTCCCTCCCTCTCCCCCCTCTTTCTCTGTGAGGCAGGATTTCACTCTGTAGCCGGGCTAACCAAGAACTTGAGATCCTCTTGCCTCAGCTTTCCCAAGGGCTTCGTTTGGCATGATGCCCCCTGGCTGTATCATTCAATGCCACTGTGCTCCTTTCTTGGTTCACTGCACTACCAGGCAAACACCGAGAAGGCAAGGACCTAGTCATTTGCTTTAATTTCCCATGTCCATAGCACTCCCAGTGCCTGGTCAACAGCACTGAGGGTGAGTAAAATGAAATTAAGACCAAGCTAGGGCCCAAAGACAGATGCAGAATCAGGGCCGATGCTGTGTGACTGGCCCTGTGTGACCATCTTACATCTGCACACCCCCTCCCCACTACCCATAGGCTCAGAAGAGAAGCCAGGGTCCAGAGGCCATGTAAGCAGCCTTGGACATGTCCAGAGCTCAGCCTAGCTGCTCCTGGTGTGGCTATTAATGCTATGGTTCAATTTCCTGTTGTATTTTTTTTTTCCATCTCAGCTGTGGATGTTTCTCCCCAACCCCCTCTGCTAGAAGCATATTTAAAGTAAATCCTTTTTAAATTCTAACCAGTCTGCACTGAAATTAGAAAACAGAGTTTAAAATACTTTGACGGATGCTGCTTAAATTCCTCCCCTTTGACAGAGTTAGAGGGTGACCTTTAGAAACATGGCGTGTGACATATACATGGCCTGCATCTGCTCGGGCCCTTCGCAGGTGTAGGTGACCTGCCCATGGGCAGCAGAAGCATGGCTGGCTCTTGGCCACACCCCTCTCATCCTTCATGAGCTTCTGAGCACATGGACAATTTGAGTCTCTGAGCCAGAGCGAGAGCTGGGGTATGAGCCCCACTGTCGGAACACAAAACCTCGACCACAGGGGACAAAGAATGAGGGTAACTCTGGATGATTGGAGTCTCGGATGTGAGGGATGAGTTGGTGCAGTGGTGGGAGAGAGGGGAGGGGGATAAGAGGGACAGCCCAGTCACACATTGCCTGGGGGACGTGGTCAGCTGGCAGAAGGCCTGGAAACCTGGACTTACTGCAGCAGGCGGAGCTGGGGCAGCTGGGGCAGGTGCTGTAGCAGGGTCTTCAGGCTCTCATCACTCAGGGTCTTGCAGGACAGGCTGTGAATCAGCAAAGGATCTGAATGAGGTGGTGGAACCTTCTAGAAAGTGGGCAGCGTAGCCTTACAGCCAGCGCCCTCAGGATATGAGATGAAGAGTGTCGCCGACAGCATCCCCTCTCAAGACTGGGTCAGGGGACACAGGCACCTCAGAAACACTGGATGGAGCAAGTGGCATTGTTTTACTCTGTGTGTCTTTAGCAAGCTGCTGCTGGGCATTTTGGATCCCAAGGGACTCCTGGTCTAGGAGACTCTCCACAAACTCCGTGGATTGACCAAACTGTGAGTGGAGAGTCACCCATCATCTCCACCCCAGCAGCGGGGAAGCAGGAGGAACTACTGAGCTGCCATCCCACTGGAGAGATGCGGGTTTCTGTGGCTCATTGAAACCCATCAATCACCGAATCGCAGGTATGGATGTGGCAGAATCAGTACACACTGGAGACAGTCCAAACACCAACCCTTGGGCCACTGTGTGTCCTGACTATCTGGAGAGTGCCATTGCCTCCACTAGGGTCTGGGGTCACATGCTGTCCCCTGAGCAGTGTCTCCCTCCTGCCTTTGTCCCCTCTCCCCACCCTGGCACTTTCTCCTCTCTCCCTTTCCCTTAGCACTGGCCTCAGTCCTGCTGCACTCAGGGGGCAGTTGGAAGGAGGGTAGGACAGCATGATGTGGGTGAGGACTGGAGGGCAGGAGCAGCCTGTGGTCTGAGGCTGAGTATTCTACCTGAGCTCGCTTTCAAGCTCAGACTCGCTCTTTCTGGCCGCACCCGGCCAGGACCCAGGGCAGTGTCTGCATGGGGCCTTCACTGAGGGAGCCCTTAGCATAGCATCTCCCCATGAGGGGCTTCCCCACACCCCCAGTCCACAGTACCATGACCTCTGGGCCTACACACATTTTTAAAGCAATGGACACATGACCCAGTCCAACGTATCACTGGTCCACCAGCAGGTAGAGAAGGAAGTGGGCCTGCAGTAGGGGAGCCGACCACCTTTCCTGACCTCCAGGGGAGTCCCAGGACAGCCAATTGATGCTGGGGAGGGACCCTGAGACACTACTTATTCCCGGAACCCTCAGCTCTGCCTGCCTTTCTTACGAAGCATTGGCAGGGCCTGCAGATCCAAGCCCTGAGTAACCCACAGTCTGGTATTCAGTGGGCACTTAACAGGCACGCAAAGCTGGCGTGTCTGGTAAGCATTGCTGTGACACCACAGGGAGGCCTGGTATAGCCTGTCTATACAAGTCTAGATGGATCTGCAGCGTCCTTCTGCAGACGGCCAAGGTACAAAGGCATAGAAATGCAGGCACTCTGCAAAAGCACCCCAGGCGGGGCCACTGAGCACTGGATGATGTATTTGACGGTTGTAGGACATTACTGTTAATATTTTTGTGGCTACATTAAAGACAAGAGTGCAGGGCATGGTGGGACACACTTTTAGTCCCAGCACTTGAGAGTGATTTCAAGGCCATCCTGGTCTATAAAGTGGGTTCCAGGCCAGTCACAGCTACACAGTAAGACTTGGTCTTAAAAGCTTAAGCAAGTAATTAAATAAACATTAAGGAGTATTTATAGTTTTCATACCAAAATACTTACAAATAAAAGTACAAAGTGTCTGGAAACTACCTCAAAATCACTGAGCACGTATGCCCGCGTTTGTGTATGTATGCGTGCATGTGTGTGCACGTGAATTTTTGTTGTTTTGTTTTGGGACAGGGTGCCACTGTGTGATCCCACTGATCTGGAGCCAGCTATGTGGTGCAGGCTGGCCTTATGCTCCTGCTACTCCTGCCTCAGTCTTGAGTGTTGGGATCACAGCTGCAGGCAGGTGCCACCATGCTGCGGTGAATGGGGGTGGGTTATGAGCCCATCACCCCTGGGGAAGAGGGGAGTGCCTAAGGTTCTTTATTCTCTCTATTTTTATATATGCCAGAAGTCTCTAGAATAAAAGAGCTGTTTAAATGACAAAGTAACCTCACAGTGGGGAAGTGTGACTCAATGTAAGCATGACAGCCCGCAGCAGCCATAAAGTGACACCTTGCGTTAGTTAGGCTGGTGGATGCTGCCCCCAAGACCAGACACCAGCTTAACCTGGAGAAAAACAGTCAACTCAACCAGGAAATGGCTTACAAAACAGCTGCCTGGTATTCCAGGGAGGACATGGAAAACAAAGAAAGGATTGCAAGGCTTCCAGGGAGAGGGGAGGCTGAGAAGCAATGCTTGACTGCAATCTGGGTGCAGGCTGCTATCTCTCTCAGATCCATAAAGCTTGAGCCAACAGCTGTCTGCCACAGGTGGTTTCTTCACTGTGACAAACGTCACTATGTAACCAGAGAGGCTGGCTCTCTGCACTCCTCCACAGCTCTTTTTGATACATTTGAAATTACTGAACAGTTTGAAATGATTCTAAAGGTGTTTGTTGGAAAATGAACAGAGGGCCATTGAGAGGTGAGATGGCTCCCTGGGGTCTACACAGGGGAAGGTGATAACTGGGAGCTGTGAGTTCCTTGGACTTCCACATAGTACACATGCACACCCACACACGCACGCCACACACATGTAAGCTTTTTAAAGTGACTCGAGGCTGGTGAGATGGCTCAGAGGACAAAGGCACTTGCCACCAAGCCTGACGACGTAAAATCAGTCCCTGAATTGACTCCTGAGACAGCTCCTCCACACACACGCTGTGGCACGCACATACACTCCCTCCCCTCCCCAAACGATAAGTGAACAAAAGTGATGAGATGTTTGTAATGAGCTGGACTCACAACTTGACCCTTAGGGAAAGCCACTGTCACTGTCAACAAACAGTTAACTAGATGCAGGGAGATCTCGCAGGGCCAGATCCCATCTTGTCAAACAATGCAAACCCCTCCTTCTGGGTGTGCAAACCCCTCCTTCTGGGTGTGTTTGCTATGGAGAGTGCATAGGAAACCCGCACTGGGGTCTGCATGGATTATCTTGTCCAAAGGGCTGATACGGATTTGAGGTGGAGCCAGAAGTCAGGACACAAGACGGCTGCAAACTGGGAAAGCAGGTGTGAGCCAGGAGCGACTGTAGGCTGCCCCGGGTCTAACACTACAGACTTAGCTTGAGTGGCACTAATCCGAAAATCCGAAATCCAAAATCTGAAATAGTTTGAGCACTGACATCACACTGCAAGTGGAAAATTTCGGTCTTGACAGGTCCCAGCCCCCAAGTGCAAGCTCATTATAGACACTGAATATGACTTTCAGGTTATAGGCTTAGGGCTTACACGAAACAAATGAATTTTGTGCTTAGACCTGATTCCCTCATTCTGCATATGCAAACATTCCAAAATCTAAAGAAAATCCCCAAATCCCGAACACCGCCAGTCCCAAGCATCTTGGATAAAAACTGTGCAATCGGAAAGTAAAAACGGAGCATACAGTGAGCAAGAAGGGGACAGGGCTGTGACAAGTGACACCAAGATTCAATGAGAGGAACCGGCTTGTTCAGTGAGGGGGCTTCAGCCTAGCGTCTTCTAAAGGTTATTTTCATATAAGAATCATAACACTGACTGCTAAGGAAGGGTGCACAGTCTGTTCTACAGAAGCAGAAACTAAGGCCCAGGGGCTTAAATCCTGGAGTCAGCTTCCAGTGATTGAGTAGCTCCTGGTTACGGGATTAGACTCTGGTCACAGATCTGGTTGTTCTGAAGTGGATGGGGTAGTGTAGGGACAAGGGGTTCAAAGGTGACGATTTGGCCCTGGAGGCAGGATGAGGGAGAGACTGTGTGGGGCTCTGGGACAGGACCCCGTGCGTCCTTGTACTTGAGACTAGGGTTCATGAGAGAGACTGACCTCCTGCCCAACTGCCAGAGTGGGGCCATGGGTCTGGTGGAAGGCCAGGAAAAGATTCATCAAGTCTCCCCTGCAAGCCGCCCTCTCCCAGGTTTCTGCACAACCACCCACACTGTGCCCTCAGGGGTGTGTCTTGTCACTTACTGAACTTCCAGAGGCCCTGGGCATTTCTCCAGAGTGGCACAGAGGCAGGTAATGCTCAGGGGCTCCAGCTGACAGCCCCGAAGTCTGAGAAGGGACAGGGGATAGGGAAGAGGATCAGAGTGAACCCAGAGCCTCTGTCCTAGGACACCCTCCTCCTCCTCCCAACAGATGCTCCCACCAGAACGGCAGGCACGCAGCCCCTCTCCCATGCCCTTGCAGGACATACTTCCCCCCCCAAGCACTCCTATCCTGTGTCCACCATTATGACATCGACATTAACACTGCTGCGTGCAGTGCAAACCTTTCTGCCTGAGCCCAGACACCATCCTCACTGACTTGGATCACTCACTACCCTCCGGCTTCCGCTTGGTCTCACGATCCTTCTTCACCCTCCAAGCATCTCATCTTTTTAATTTGTTAAAATGTGTTTTGCCTGCATGTGTATACAGGCACCAAGTGCATGCTGGGGGCCCCGTGGGAGAGGGTGACCCTAGAACTGAAATTATAGATGGTTGTGAGCTGCCATGGGGGCGCTGGGAACTGAACTCAGGTCCTCTGCAAGCAATAACTAGTGCTCTTAACTACTGAGTCATTCCTTCAGTCCATGTCTTATTTTTCAGCACTGCCAATCCAATGGGGACTCTCCACTGCTTAAAACCTTCGGTGGCTCCCTAGTATCTGTAAGCAAAAATGAATGCCCTGCCCAAGCTCCCCTGCTATACTCTCCAGCTACACTTCAAACGGGTCCAAAGAAGCCCTCATCCTGGCTCTGGCTCTGTGTCTCTCCTGCCTGGGGCATGACAACTTTTCTCGGAGTAGCTCCATTGATGCCCTTAGGCATCCCTCGGGGAGAGCTGTCAGAGTTCAGAAGGGTCTTGTAGCCCCTTGTGGCACAGTTGGGAGTTACCAGAGCAGACTTTTCTGGGGCGTGAGGTAAACCTCTTTCTAGAAATGAAAGGCTCAAAAGCAGATGGCAAGCCAGGGCAGGGATGGCTGGGTTTCCAGTGTTTCGCAGATATGACATCTTCTCTAAGGAGAATGACAGGCCTTGACCCCACTGAGGTGACCCAAAGGGTCCAGCAGCCCCCAGCGCTGGCCTCTGTAGCATACCTCTTTCTTTTTCCATCTTTCAAACTCTCTTCCCTCTATCTTAATTTGTATCCCTGATGCCCTAACTCTGCCCATTCCCCAACCCCTGAACAAAAGTGGGATACAGTACCGGAAGCTCCTGGAGGTGTAGTGAGGGCCGAACGCCAGTAAGGGGGCTCCAGCCGGGAATTCTGGTTCACATCTGCCAGCTGGTGCATCCCTTGGAGGGAGAAGACACAGCTTGAGCCACGCCCATGGGACCCGGACACCCTCAGGACTTCCACATCTGCAGGCAGAACTGGAGGGGATCCTGGAGATTTGGCCCCAGCCAGGCCCCTCGTTGATTAGGTGGGGAGACAGACTCATGAAAGGGAAGCTAGAGCAGTGCACACCTCTCCAGGTCAACCCCAGCCAAGTAAGTGGACACAGAATGGAGTGCCTTCCCTGACCACCAACTTGACAGGACCGTACACCTGCCTCCCTGTTTCTCAATTCTTTTGCCCTCGGATCCCAGAGGACCTCCACAGGGATCTTAGTTGGGGGAACCAAGAGCATCTATTCTAGGGCTAGCCTGGCTTCAGATTGCCTGGCACGTTAGCTGCAGCGAGGTCACTGCCCAGCTGGCCCCTCCTTAGGCCCAGCTCTGAGGACAGCCTCTGCCCCAGGGTTCAAGGCCATGATGCATGTTGCCACTAGAGGGCAGCTGGGAGCACTTGTGAAGTGCTAAATTGGTTTATTTTAAAGAGTTAACCTGGCTTCTCAGGGGCTTACAGATTAGAGCAGCTGTTCCAGAGACCACACCAGACCTGGGGTGTCGTTCCTGGGCACGGGTGTGTGTGTCAGGGTGGAGACGGGGCATCCACAGGAAGTGGGAATCAGAGCCGCAGGGAAGCCCAGGTCTCCCCTCCTCACCTGCCAGTGCCAGCTCCTTGAAGGAGGATGTGGTCACTCTCAAGGCTGAAAGTGAAGAGGAGACAGCTGGTTGAGAAGAGGCGAAGTGCCCGCTCCCCAGAAGGGCTTAGGGACCTGGAGTTGGCCTGCCACCCAGGGGATATAGCAACAATGGATCAACAACAGCTATGGTTATCCAAGACTCTCGCTGGGCTCGTGGCACGCTATTTCAGCGCCCCCTTGTGGCGAGCCAGGAGAGGACGCAGGTTCGGCGTTCTATCCAAACAAGGACTTTAAGGCCCCAATAATGTTAAGGACTTGCAAGAAGCCGCACAGCTTTGTCCACCTGCCGCCACATCTTTATCCTTAGGGTCAGGGGAGGATGGACAGCAGAGCGCCCCTAAAACTACAGGTTTCTGCATGGAGGGATCCAGGCTGTGAGGTGGCTGCTGCCTTCCCTTCCAGTGTCACCAGTTCTGGAGATGCCACAGTCAGGCTAGTCACTGAGCCCCAAAGGCCACCAACCAGCTCCCAGCTTGCTTAGGAGTGTCTAAGGACAGTCTAGTGAGTTGAAAGACTTTTGTCCCAAGGAGAACTTGGAGAAATTGAATTGCTTCTGTGACCATGAGGGCCATGCTTTTCAATCCTTCCCTTGATCATTCCCTCCCTCCCTCCCTCCCTCCCTCCCTCCCTCCCTCCCTCCCTCCTTCTCTCCCTCCCTCCCTTGATCCTTCCCTCTCTCCCTCCCTGTCTCCCTCCCTCCCTCCCTTGATCATTCCCTCCCTCCCTCCCCTCCTCCCTCCCTCCCTGGCTCACTCCTTTGTTCATTCCATGAACTCCTTGCACATGCTCACTGTACCTGGCATCATCTAAGACCCCAAAGATGACCCAGGTGCCCCCCTTAAAGAGGGGCCTCAGCAGGAGCTGATGAACGGAGGGGGAGGAGAGGGACAGGGCGGTCACTCACCTGACATCTAGGTGGAACACCCACTGAACGGAAGGCATGCATTCGATCAAGCCAAACACAGCATCCAGGGACACGCCATTCCTGCTAAGGCTGGAGATCACACAGGAGACAATGGTGAAGCCACCGAGGACTCAGACATGCCCTCTGAATGTCAGAGCACAGGGCCAGGGATGGGAGTGTCTCTGACAGCAGATGACAGACCCTGCTGAGCTCCAGGTGACCAGTGAGGAACCCTCCAACTTCACTGCATCTAGACAGGAAGGAACTTGCTCAGGTGGCAAGCTGTACTGGTGACAGAGCTAAGATCGGAACTCAGAGTTCCCTTGAATTCTTCTTCGACATCCAATAAAGGAAGGGTAAGATAAAAATGGGCAGGAGACTCCCATCCTGAAACAAGAACAACAATTTCTTTTCTCTCATAGTCTCTGTCCACCTATCGTGTGTTTTTTATTTGCCATGTAATGTCCCACTGGGACCCAGGGTGCCTCACGGGTACCTTGTCACCTTGTCTTAAGGACACCTGTAAGAATCTGCCAGCAAATTCAATCTGCATGTCACTGTCTGCAAAGGAAAGGCCCCCTACCTGCCTGTAAGGGGCCCCCAGATTTTCCCCCACCCCCTAGGATCAGAGGTGACCTTTTTTTCTCAGCCAGACTCCTCAGAACACAGCTTTCTAGTAAAAAAGACCCTGGGGTTATACTCGGGGGAGCTACCCCTGATTCTTATGCATTTACTGATGCTGCTGTAACTTCCCAAGGCCAAACAGTGCTTAGCAGCACAGACAGCCAGAACCCAGGGCCCCCAGCAGGAAAGTGGTTGGCTGCAGGCAGAATGTGGGGGGATCCTGACTTGTTGCCAAGGTCTTCCTCCCACGCTGGGTGCCTCCCACCTCCCTAACAGGTCGTCAGAGCTCCCGGGCTGCCCTAGACATCCTGCCTGGTGTCTTCTCCAGCACAAGTCCTCCCCGTCCACTTAGGCCAAGTTTCATCGAGCTGCCCCTCTTTCTGAAACCGGGGACTGGAAAGACTTCTGGCAGCTGTTCATCCCTCAGTGTTTCCTCAAGCTTCCACTATGCTTCCCATAGAAACCCACGACGCCCAGCCCAGGTGCCGTGTGAGCCCGTGGAGAGACACGGGGGCTGCTTGAGAAGGCCTGGGGCCGAAGCCAGAGCACTGAGCTCTGTGAAGTGAGTCAGCGCTCAGTCGAGCCTGGTGAGCAGAGCACCTGTTGGGCCCTTGTTGATGGTTCCCGTGTGGTGCTGGAGGAAGGCGGTTCATGTGCACTACCTGGTGACATCGTTACCACTGGTGACATCTTTACTGCACCCTCCCCACTGATGGCAACCCAGAGGCCTGGGGGCGGGGTGGTTAGTGCTTACTTACTTCAAAGACTGTAGGGGACCCAGTCCTGGGAGCAGCTGGGCTAGCAGGGCCACCCCTTTGTCCCCCAGGGAGTTGTCCGATAGGCTGGAAGGAAAGGAGAAGAGGTTAGTGGAGGATGGAGTGGGTTCTGCTTTTGTAGCAGTGTGGTTGTCCAGCTGCCCCTGGGACCGGGGACCCCAGTGGAAGCACTAAGCTAAGACTTTGCACATCACACACGGGGCACGTCACTCCCCCCAGTGACCTTCCGGCATGGCTGCAAAGGTTACCAATGTGGGATGTGTACTTGGAAAGAAAGTCACTCTCCCCCCCTCCCCGCCCCTATCAGGTCTCTGATGCTAGTAGAGGAAGGTAAGGACCAAACGCTTCAAAACAGAACAGGGAAATCTGCACTCCATCACCAAGCAGCCTCTACTGTCCCCACCACTGCCTTCCTGGATGCAGATACTCACTCGAGATGATCCAGGTGGTGGAGCTGGAAGTTGGCTCTCAGTGCCCCGCAGAGCCTCTCTGTGTGCTTGGCCAGGAAGCCACAGTGTGTCAGCCTGCAAGGAGCCAGACCCGCAGCCCTGCAGTGACCTCTAGACACTGTGCCCAGGGGAGAGCTGCCCCCACCCACCCCAGAGCCAGCAGAGAGGCCAGTGAGCAGCAGTGAGAGGTTGTGGAACATGGCATTAAGTCAGACAGGAGACTGACACAGGGAAGTCATGCCTCAGACAGCACAGAGGGCCGGGGCTGAGAGGGAGAGAGAGACAGAGAGGCAAGTGGAGATAGCGCTAGAGACCGTAGACACAGAGACAGACAAGTAGAGACAGCAAGAGGGTTAGTTAGAGACAGGCTGAGGCAGAGACAAAGAGACACAGGGAGACAGGGAGGGACCGAGAAGGATGGATAAGGAGAAACAGTGACAGAGGTAGAAAGCAAATGGACAAATGAGGAGAGATAAGACCAAATGCCCTAGGAAAGAAACCAACTCTGAATGAGACTGGCAGACAGGTAGGCAAAAGGGAGACAGGGTTGGTGGGAACACACAGGGCCGAGGAGCCCAGGCAGAGGCCCAGCATCGGGGATCAGTGGTTCTTGGCTCTTCCTTTCTCTGTTCAGTCTCCGCAGCCCGGGGTTCAGGGAGCTATGGAGTGGGGCCGCCTAGACAGTGGGAGGTGGCTGAGGGGAGGGCTATGCAGGGAACAAGATGCTGCCAGGCCATCCTCGGCAGAGCAGGTTGTGGTGTCCTCCAGCAAGCTTATGAGACAGGCTTGAGGCGAGGAGACTATTACCATACCTGATCCTTCGAGAGCTCTGGGATGTCTCAGAGGCCACAGGAGATGCAAAGCTGGTGAGTGGTACAGCACTGTAGGATACACAGCAAGGCCAGACTGAGCATCTTGCCTCTGGCTCCATCCCCAAACTCACTGTCCCATTTCGTCTCTGTGCTTAGCCAGGCTCAGCGGGACATTAGCTTGGTGCGTGGCCTGGGACTGGCCTCTCTGGGACTAATTTGGTATACTCGAGTTGTCTCAGTCTAGCACTAGATACACACATAAGGAAATGTTCAATGCACCCTGGTTGTCGTCACCATTAATATCATTGTCATCACCATCATCGGAGATAGAAGAGAGGGCAGCTCTCCTCCCATCAGCCTTCCAAACTCAGACCCCTGCCATAGCTTGTGGGTGGACGCCCACGGCACAGAGCTAAGCCTCTAGATAAGTCCTGGAAGTCACTTGAGGGAGAGAGGCAAACATCCCTTTAATGGTCCTTGTGTCAAATGAAGATAGAAGCTCTGGCCATATCAGAGCTCTGGGCCGGGCTACTTTCCATATTTAGGCCCCAAACCCAAGTTTCCCCATGAACAATTGTCTGTCTATCCCAGCTAGACAATAACTATCTAGCTATCCCTGGGGTACCAGCCAGGTCCTAGTCTGCCCTCTGCTTCTTCCTCATCAGCCTCATGTCTCCAGCCAAGGCTGCTCATGGCCTGAGCCCTGGTGGATTCTTTTTCACTTTCTGAGACAGGGTCTCCTGTGTGATTTGTGCAGTGCTGGGAACTGAGCCCAGGGTCTCATGCAATATCAGACACTCTACTACCCAAGCTACACTTCCAGCCCCACTTTATGAGCTCTTGTCAAGGTCTCCCTGGGCCAAGGGGGTCGCAGTCCCATCCCAGAGAGGAGTGTGGGGACACTGGGTCCTTACCTCCGGCGGCTCCTCTCCTGCTTCCTTGGCTCCTGGGCAAATGTGAGTACCACAGTGTTGCTTTGCAGGCTGTGGACAAGAGTTGAGCAAGGGGCAGAGGTTACGGCCCTTGTCTAACCCTGACCTGGTGGAACCAAGACACCACACCTGCCCAAGCTGAGCCCCCTCCTGTGACCTCCTCTGAGGCTTTGCGGTGTGAAACCTTCCTGCTACACAGACTGCAGATTCTCCCTGCTCTGGTTCGTGCCTCAAACTATAGTACGCCCCCTCTGCCTGCTCTGGTGGAGTAGGGTGGCGGGTTTCCTCTGATGCCTGGAGCACTTTGGGATGTGGGTGCTGTCTCCCATGGCATCTCAGAGATCACAGTGAATGAGGACCCTAATCTACCTTGTGAGAGATGTAGGCCCCCCCTCAGCCCTTTGGGGGAGCATGAAATAGAGATGTCCATGCAGCTGAGAACCAGGACCAAGGCTTGACGCAAAGCAGGGACGGCACTGGCTTTCATTCAATGTGTCCTCGGTTCTTCACATCGATAGGGATAGAACTGAGGTTGGACCAGAGGGGCAGGAAGTCACTTGTCACTTGGACATTGTTCTCAAGAGGAGCTGGGAAGGGACTGAAGGAAGCTGGAAGGGGCAGGGCCCAGCCTGATCCCGCAGTTCCTGGGGGCACAGAGGGTCCTGCGTAGTTTGTATCAAATGAAGCAGGGAGCTGGAGGGTTGTCCCCCATTTTGTGATGCTGCCACTCCCAGCTGGCCCCACCAGCTCCAGGCAGCTCTCCACAGGAGACCCACAGCCCTGGCAGAGGCTGCACTGTTGTGATAGCAAGACAGCGGTCAGGCAGCGTCTTCTAGGGGTCCCTAAGGCACGAGGCCAGAACAATGTGGGGAGCTTCAGAAAGTGTGCTGATCGGCCTTGAACTCAGAGGAAGGGCAGTGTCCCGTGGGTGCCCACCTGATGTGCAGCTCTTGCAGGGTCCCACAAGTGCTCACGGCTCTCACCACATAGGTCACCCCCGTCTTAGAGAGGCCGTTGTCACTGAGGCTGCAGAGAGGAGAGGGTGTCAGTGTCGGCAGGCAGACAGCTCCTGCCTCCTCGAGGCGACTTGAAAGTTGTTGGCTGTCATGGGTCCCCAAGTAGGGTCCTTCAAGGAGTTCTGGCCATGTGAGTCAAGGGATACATGTCACCCCCACCCCTGCCAAATACACATACTCAGAGAATCAACCTCTCTGGTTTAATCTACCAGCACTGCCTCTGGGTTCTCCTGTCTCTGAGCACCAGCTTTGTGGTATGTGATGCGACTGCAGTCTATGGAGGGCTGACTAGTAGGTTCTATACCAAAGGTTTTAGGCATACGTAGTCTCGTTTAACTCCATTTTACAAATGGAGAAACTGAGGCCCAGAGACATTCTATTGCTTTTCCGGGGTTTCAACGTGACACAGTTAGCGCCGAAGCCCAAACCACTTTCCCCAACCTCTCCACTCCTCACCCAACCCAAATGACCCTAAGATGTAACACAACCCACCGAATACCATCTCTGCCCCAGACCCGCACCATTGGACACCCTGCTTTCCTGGGTCACCACTTCAACAACTTATGCCTACACCTAACCAAACACACCTCTTTGTGCCCTAAAGCCTTGACCCAGTGGCAGGGTACCCACCCACTCAGTACCGCGGCTCTGGCCCAGTGCAAGGCTCCAACCTCCACACATGAGACCCTGTCTCAGAGCTGTGGCGGGGGCTACCTGGCATGTGAGCCGGACGTGCCATGGACATGCTGTCCGTGTGCAAGGAGTTAGACAGTGATGCTACTAATGGATCAGGGCAGAGGCAAGAACGAAGTATGGTCAACAGCCCAGCTTAGCTGGAGAGAGGAAGCTGGGCAGATCAGTGCTACTATTGCTGACTGTGGACACGGAGAATGGGGGCAGGCAGGGACCAGATGGACTCTCCATGGCTCCTCTTGTTACCCAGCAGTGGGGTGTGCAACTCACTCCAGTTTCTGGGCAATTTGCAGCTGGGAAGCAGCCTCTGCCACAAGTCGACAGCCTTCGTCTTCCAGACGGTTTCCTGAAAGACTAAGATGGAGGCAACGGGGAAACACTCTCACAATCCCTCTCCAGCTTTAGTCAGGGAAGCATTCCACAACTTATTTATTTATTGTTTATTTATTGCTTTTTGAGACAGGGTTTTTCTGTGTAGCTTTGGATCCTGACCTGGAACTCACTCTGTAGACCAGGTTGGCCTCGAACTCACAGAGATCCGCCGGCCTCTGCTTCCTGAGTGCTGGGATTAAAGGTGTGTGCCACTGCCTGGCAGTAAACTTTATAATAACTAAAGGGGACAGGCTTCCAGCTCCATGTGTAGCTGTACTCTACACTTGTGGCATGTTTCATACTCACAATCTACAAAGCAGAGACTAGTATCGTCATCTTACTACCAAGTAAAACGAGGCACAGAGTCCTTAAGGGGCCCGCTCAAGGGTGGGCTTGGCTTTGAACCCAGACAGTCTGACCGGAAGGTACCACCTGCGCCTGTTCCTGTAAGCTGCAACACGCATAAATGTGTCTTGTGATAATCTCCCTAATTCCAGGATATCTGACACAGTGTAGGTCCAGGGAGGCTTTCTTGTTTTTGTTTGTTTGTTTTTTAACTACTTGCTGGAAATCCCAGGACTTTCATAGGTAAGTGGTTGGGGAGAGATTTGGGAAGATTGTCTCTAGTAGTGGGAATAGCATACTCAAAGACCCTGTGGTATAGCACATGCCAGCATCCGGAGGAAGCCAGTGTGTTTAGACTGGAAACTGAATTAGGCTAACAGGGTGAAAGGGGCTGAGGAGGTTGGGGCAGGCTTCTGGGTCCCACAAGGATTTGAGGATTTGGGCTTTACTCTGAGTAGAGGGAGGGAGTGAAGGCCATAGGCAGTGGTGAACACAGTCTACCAGGCCAGGAAGAGAATGCTCTGCTGGAAGCTGGGAAAATCGTGAAGCAGAAGCTAATGGGGTCACGAGGTGAAAGGTGGGGGTTCTAGCAGAGGAGAGTATGAAGAGTCTGGAGAAGACGCAGACTTGAGACTAAGTTGGACTGGTAACAAAGGTGAGTGAGGTAGCTGGGAAGGTGTTATTCATCTAACTAGTGGGGTGGGGTTGTGTTGCCAGTGAGAGCGCTGGGAAGGGACAGGCTCAGTGTTAGAGATACTCCATGCCTTCTTCTTAAGTTTTGTTATGTAAATGTGTGTGTGTCTGTCTGTGGGAAGGTTCTGGGTCCCTGCAACTGGAGTTATAGGCACTTGCAAACTGCCTACATGGGTGCTGGAAACTGAAGCCAGGTCTTCTGAAAGGGCAGCAAGCACTCAGGCCCTCAGCCATCTCTCCAGACCTTTTAATCATTTTTTACAGATTATGTTTATTTTTTGTAGTGGGGAGTGCATGTGAGGTCAAAGGACAACTGAGCCATCTTGCTGGTTCTCATTTGCTATGTTTTAACCTTGTCCCTGAGTCTTCTTATAAAACAAGGTAATGGACCAATGGCTGATTACATGGGCAACCCTCACCCTATGTAACACACTCTGAGGTGGGGCCAACTCATCTCTAAATACTTCACAGCACACACCATTTCTCTCTCTCTCTCTCTCTCTCTCTCTCTCTCTCTCTCTCTCTCTTTCTCTCTCTCTCTCTCACTCTTGATAGGATTTCTCTGTGTAGTCCTGGCTGTCCTGGGACTTGCTTTGTAGACCAGGCTGGGCTGGCCTGGAACTCAGAGATCCACCTGCCTCTCAAGTGCAGGGACTAAGGGCGTGTACCACCACTCCCGGGTGCACCCCACCATTCATCCTGTCTTCACATCCCTTAGAGGATTGTTGGTGGGGCTCCCTTCCAATCACTAGGAAATAACCACCACCAGTTCTTAAGCTCCACTCAGGAGCCAGACATCGTGGGAACTTCTTCAGCCTGTAAACAATGGGTCATCCCAAGTGCAGGAGGAGTCCTACTCTCCTGACGGCCATGGCAGTGGTGGCAGGACTCAAGAGGATGGGCTGGGAGCCTCAGGCCAGACTCTTCCTACCTGCATGATCTTGAGCAAATTTACCTCCGTGCCTTCATTCCCTTCTCTGTAAAATGTGGTTACGTCACAGCAAGAAGGTGATAAAACATGCCTCACAGCTCCTAGCTAAGCACTTGATTCAGGACATCGCTGCACGGTAACAGATGTTCTGACTGTTGGGATGTCCCCAGACTCTGGAGGAGTCAGCCAGCCATCACCACACCCCCACATGAAGACGGGGGGGGGCCTTGTTTGCCCTGCCCAGCCCCCTAGCTGTTCCTGTCCCAGGTCTCCCACTCTGTCCCCCGGTACTCACTCTACTTCCTCCAGCCGGGGGCCTTTCTGGAATAGCTCCACAAGGGCTTCTGCATCATGGACCCTGAGCTGACATTTCCGAAGCCTGGGGGGATAGGAATGGGGGATATGGAGGGGGGGATCATGGTCCTTCCCGTTCAGAGTCAGATGAGTCCTGAGGGCGCAGACCTGGATCTGTGTCCCTCTAGGAGTGGAGTGATCTTGTTCAAGAAACTTAGTCTATTTGTGAATTAATTTCTTCCTCTCCCAAACTGGAGTAATATGTGCCATTCATGAGGGTCCTAGAAGGCTTCCCATGAAGCACCAGCCACCTCCAGGACAGTGCCCCACATATAGAAAGGGTCTGTTTGGCTGGAGCTCCTGTGACAGTTGCTTATGCATGCCCTTTCCTGTCTTTCCATCTGCTTTTCCTGTATTCCTTCCTGCCTGTTCTTCCTCCACTGGGGAAGGACCTTCCTCCATTATCATTTTCGGAGGGCAGTAGGCCCTGCTGAGGTACCTGAGTTCTAGGCTTCGGCTCTGTCCTTCTTTCTTCGGGCTGTCTTTATCCTGTAGGTTTGGTGCTCTGAAAAGAACAGATTGCACACTAGTTTGGGCTCAGGAGCCAGACCTGATGGACTGGGCCTCTTCACTTGGCATCTGGGGTCTGAAGCCCTGCAGCACGTCTCATGGTGAGTTAGTTCCAAAGACGGCGCTGGAAGGCACTCAAGGCGCAGCTAGGAGAAGCAGCAGGGGCAAAGGGCTTGGGGCCCTTACTCAAATGTGCCCCCCCTCCCCGCCACCGTCTGTGGCTGTGCAGTTTTGGCAAGCCACATACCCTATCAGACTCTTCTATCTCCTAAGGTCACCATGACAAGCATCCCCTTGATGTGACCTTTGGTTCAGAAGACAGAGATCATGAACTGCCACAAGCAGGTCCAGGGAGAGGGGAGCTACAGCCCTTCCAGACTCTCACACAGGGAGAGGAGAGTGCCAGGGACTGCAGAGAATCCTGGGCTAATCGTCTAACAGAAGCTTCGCAATGACAGAAGTGCTCCTCCACTGTGACATTTGCCACGGGAACCACCCGTGGCCCCTGCTGAGTCCCGAAAGGGTGGAAACCGATAGACTGAAAGTTACTGCACTTACATCGTCACAGTGGCTGGGAATGGCCACGTTGGGTGTCAGAACTGGAGGCATGGGGAGGGCAGGGAGTGAGATTGACGCTGGGAGCTTAGTCAGGGAGCAGTGTGGGGAACCTGGGAAGAGCTTTTGCTCAGCGGGGAAACCTTTCATGTCTTTACCCACCCAGTGGGGGGGGGCATATGGAAATCCATGTGTGGCCAGCATCTGAGAGCTGGTGATATGCCAGCATTTGAAGCATGTTAGATGCATTTGCTCCCTCCATGCCCAAGGCAGCCCTGAGATGTAGGTACCACCACTGCCCTCTCCTCTATCTTTCTTTCAGTTAGGAGAATTTTTCAGATTCGGTGCATGGTATCTTGACATCCTCCCTACAGGCCTGGTTCACTCTGAGACTCTGGGGATGCTCCCTAGCCAGGGGTTGTATGTCCTCCAGACACATTCGAGGAAGGGAGGGCACTTTGCCAGCCCTGAACAGGAATTCACACTTGAGCTCTCACTAGGTTCTCACCCTCATCTCCCCAGCTTGGATCCTTTCTCAGGACTAGCTGGGGCCATGCCTCCCAAGCTACTTACTCTGATTGTTGCACAGCCGTTTCTGTGATTGGGGACAGAAGGAAGACGAAGTCAGATTCCCTAGAGGGTCAGACACAAAGACATGATATCCAGGAGCTGGAAGTCAGCACATGACCCCACTTGCCCAGCTGTCACCCACTCCTGCCCCAACCATCCAAGGGAAGTTTATTTATTTCCTGTCTGATAGAGAAACAGGAGAATGCAAAAGAATACCCCAGCACAGGCTGTAAGCCCTCTGCCACCCAGCAAGCCTGCTTAAGGTCAGAAAGATAAGGTGAGAGGGATCTTTATTTAGTTTTGTTTTGGTTCTGTTTTTTTGTTTTGTTTTTTGTTTTTGTTTTGTTTTAGCTGTCTAGTAAACCAGGCTGGCCTTGAACTCACTATGGATCTGAGGCTATCCTGGGATTCCTAATCCTCCTGAGTGCTGGTATTTCAGCTGTGGATCACCGTGCCCTCTGAGAGCGTTTCAAAATGAGAAATATAATTGTATTCAGATTAAGAAGGCTGTCGCCCAACCTGCAATGTGAGCCAATGAGGTAATACTGTTTCAGTACCATGGAGAGTGGCACATGGCTAATTATTCATTCGGCTACGCCCGTGCTCCATCCCTGCGTCTTTCCATCTACTTACTATTTATTAAGTGCCAGACCTGAGCAAGATTCTAGATGTGTATTAAGCCGACTCTGGCATGCACACATAGATCTTGGAAGCTAGGGACCTCCTCCTTTCCCATACCTCACTCCCCTACCCCTTTCCTTTCCCCCGAGAGTTTGAAGATCTGCTCACCTGACCTGCAGCTTTCTGACAGTAGGACACGTGATGGCCACCTTCACCGAGGACAGTAGAGTTGACACGGAGAAGTTGTTTCTGCTCAAGCTGCATGATTGTGGCATAGTGTCAGGGGTGGACGCCCTTGACATGGTCAGTCAGGAAAGAGGCTTGGCTGGGGGTAAAGATCACTTACTCAAGTTTCTGGAGCTTCGGCAGGCAAGGGAGCAGTTCCACAAGGCTCAGCACCTCTGGGTCCTTGAGCTGGTTGTCGTGCAAACTGCAGGGAGGCCAAGACCCAATCCCTCAGATGGGGGGATGGACACTAGGAAATCCTAGATGGGTCTTATGAAGTGAGGTGAGGTGAGCTAGTGGCATGCTCCCAGGGCTTAAGTGTACAATGTGCATGATTCCTGAGCTCGCCAATGTCCCAGGGGAAGACTGAAATCCCTCCGGGAGGCTGAAGACTCTATTTCCAGTATCAGCTCTGGCCACAGCTCCCCAGAGCCCAGGACAACCTCTCCAACCTCACTATCTCTACCTGGAACCCCAGCTGGAGGGACAGATAGATAAATGAAGTGCAAATTATTGAAAGCAACAGGGGGAATTAAAATAAATAAAAAGGGTGATGGGGGCCAAGATTAAGGTCACTCAATAACCAAGAACGTTTTAATAATATCAGTGACTTAAACCTTCATGCTAACCAGAGTGACCACTACCCAAAGGCACTCATCATCGGGAAGAGCAGGGACTGGCCAGCTTGTATTCCATCCTGTAAGTTCTGTATCCTTCCTGGTGAGCTTTTGTAGATTCGGGGACTGCCTTTCTGAATCTCAGGGAGGAACTATGTAAGACTCTAGTAGACCAAGGATTTTGCTGAGACTGTGTCTCCTAGCAATATCAGAATCTATACTCACAAAGTTTCACTAAACATGCACCTAACATGGGCAACATCAACAGACACGTTAAAGTGGCTGGGAGAAAGCCCATGACACCTCAACCATACACGAAGAATTATAGGCAACTGAATGCTAAGAGCAGGAGAAATAGTCTTCCCCAGGGAAGAGCATAGCAATTGGCTATCCAAATGCCAAATGGTCATCCCTGGAAACATACAGACAAGTAACATTATACAGCCTGAGTGGGTTATGTTTAGGAATATATATGTATATACACATATATGCATACAATAACCATTAATGAAAGAAGAGGTCATGTGCCTGAAAGAGATCAAGGAGGGAGAAATGATGTAATTATATTATAATCTCAAAAATAAAAGAAAATATACTTTTTTAAAAGACTGTTTCAGAGGGTCCCTAGACACTGCAATCCCTTTTCCTAGGGTCACAGAATGAGGGGAGGGAGCCCAAAACTCATGCTCCTCTCAGGTAACCCAAATGTGTGCTCTGCTGGGTTCAGGGAAGTGTACTTTTAGATTTGGCCCACCTCACTCTTGGACTGATATCTTTCTCTGGTGGTCCCTGACGGAGAATGCAAGTCCCAGGGGTGTCCTAAAACCTGGGAAGTGACCCTTCCCCCAGGCAAGGGAGCTGTCCTAGAAGTCACTCACCTGAGCTCCTCCAGCTGGGAACAGAGGGGCAAAGCCTGTACCAGGTGGCTGATGCCCCGGGCTGTGATCTTACTTCCTGTTAACCTACAGGGCAAGCAGAAATGGCAGATGAATGAGGATGGAGAAGGGGACTATCCAGGAGCCTGTACAGAACTAAGTAGGGAAAAGTGTGCCAGACATCCTTCTTGAGTATCTTGCTTGCAAGTCTTGGCTCACCCTAGCATCTTCAGGCTCCCCATAGTAGGCAAGCTTCTGCCCAGGGCTTCTGCAAAGGCATCCCCACACTTTCTGCTTTTAAAGCTGCAGGAGAGAAGCAAAACGAGTCAGTGCTGGGCAGGGCTTAGTGATTGACAGCACACCCTTGGCAGTATGCCCCATCATAGTAGCACGAATCGTCATTGTAGTTGTTGGAGTAGCAAGAAATACAGCTTACAGCATTGGTTCCTTTATCTGCCAAACCAGTTCTCCACTTCACTCATAGAAATACAGTCACATATAGTTTAAATCATGACAAGCAAACATCTGCAATGTGCATGCGTGCAAACTTACCACACGTGCGCATGAGACAGCCAGAGGTCTTTCTCTATCACTTTTTCGTTCATTTGTTTGTTTGTTTGTCTTTCACTGGTCCTGAGACTCACTCTATCCTAGGGCGGGCTGTTTGACAGTGAGCTCTGGGGATCCACTTGTCTCTTCCCCTCAGCTCTACTATTATAGGCATGAGAGGATACGCTCAGCTTTTATACGGGTGCTGGGAACGTGAACTCAGGTCCTATTGCTTTTACAACAAGCTCTCTTAGACTCTGACCTATCTCCCCAGACCCAAGATACTTTCCTTAGAAACAAAAAGAACAACAAAGCTAATTATCAAAATGGACAGAGACTTTTAGACTTTAGCAGAGGTATAATTTCACCTCACAAATTGGTCTTAAAAATTCAAGTTCATATCATTTCAAAAACAAGATCATCATTGTTCCGTAGTGTCTTTCTTTTTAAAAATGTTATCTGGTGTGATTTTTTTTAAGTTGTGGGGGCTTCTTCTACTTGATTATTTTGTTTCTATGTTGTTCATGTTTCTTTCTTGTATTTAGTGTTTCAAATATGGTTTGTATTAAAAGATTTAAAGTGATATAACTGTAATTCAGGGGGCTGGGCTGCCTTGTTACAATGTTAATATTATCTACTGAAAGTGTAAAGTGTTTTCATATGTAAATGAAACTTGGTGTTGATTTGAAGGAGGAGAAGAAGAAATGGAGTTCTAGCAGAAGTAGTTTACCAGCCAGAATTGACATTTCCAGCTCCTCTTGCAGCCCTGAGTGGCTGGCTGTGTGGCTATGTTCTCAGTGAAGCAATGTGACTAGAAGGGATGTGTCCTACTTCCGTGATGACCTTTAAACACATTCCTCCAAGGTCATCTTTTCCCTTCCTCCAAGTCAGGGCACAGGGACACCCAAGCTTCAGCATTGATCCTACAGCTAGGATGTCTGGAGGATGCTGTGGCCCCTGCATGACCGCATGGGGTAGAGCAAGCTTCCAACTTGGACCACTTACTTCTGACTTGTCCGTCACAGAGACAGAGACTCCAGCAGGGCTTGCCCCACTGTGTCTTGGGAAGCTTGCATGGGGACTACACCTTTGCTCTCTCTAGCTGATAGATACAGAGCCTTGGTCTGGACCAGATGCCGTGTGGAGAAGCCTGCTTGGGCACCATCCCATCTCATCCTCCCACGGCCCCCTGACTTGTGTACTCATTGCAGGTATGGAGAACCACCATCAAGGGAGGTAATACGTACCTCGGTTCAAGGTCAGACAGCCTTGAGCAGCACAGCCCAGATCTAACACTCCAGCCCCTGGCTGCCAGAGAGATATGAGAGTCAAGAAGCCACAGGCAAGAGAAAGTACACCTGGACTCCAGAGGCCTGATCAAGGCGTATGGCTGCCTCACCAGTGTTAGACACTAAATGAGCATGGAACGTCCTTTTTGGACCTGAATCCAGTCTGTCTGGCAGACTGGTTGACCTCCCTCTTTCCCAGAGCACAGTGCCCTCCTCCACCCTTCCCTAACCTCTCTTCTGACCTGACTCACCTGAGATTCTCAACCTGCCCACATCCTATCAAAGCCTCTGGGCAGCGGGGCTCCAGTGGGCAGCCATCAAAATCCAGATGGATGGGGGCAGCCCTGTGCTCCAAAACGTTGGCCAGCACAGCCAGGTCTTCATGGGTCAGTGGGAAATTGTGGAAGGAGAGTCGGAAGGGGAGGCTTTGGGCAGTGCACCTCGCCAGCTCTGGCTCCTGGGTCTCAGCCACACAGTGGTACAATTCTATCATCTTTGGCCCTGTAAGCCTTCGGTTAGCCAACTTCCTCAGCACCTGAACAACAGCAGCCTGCCTGGAGCCCACCCAGGCTTCATCCCGCTGAGCCAGGCGGCAAAGGAAAGCATGGCAGGTATGGGACGCCAGGCCTGCCAGGAATGTAGGGAGGTGGTCGGAAAGGCCCAGTCTAGATTTGGTCCGCAGTACCCAGTGGGAATTGAGGGTGACATAGTAGGTGAGTGTGTCTTTGTCTATTGTGTCGCTGGCCATCAGGTGCAGAGCAGCAAAGAACTCCTGCAGGCTGAGGTGGGTGAAGGCATAGCCTATTTCTTGTTGCTCAGGGCTGGTACGAATACAGAAGGAGGTCAGGAGGCTGTGGACAGCTCCAAAAGCCATCAGGGGAGGAGGGATGTCTTCCACGGAGAAGATGACCTTCCCAGTGTTCAGTCCCACAAAGGCCACTTTTCCAAGGCCCAACAAGGATGTGGCAGGCAGAGTCCCATTGTGGCTAAAAGTCTCCACCATCTGCAGGTACAGCTGGGTTACAGTGGGCAGGAGGGCCGTAGACTGGCCTGGAGGACTTCTGGGAAGCAGATGGCCGAGGCAGAAGCAGGCAACGTGGCATAGTGCAGGAACTCCACACATTCCCCGGAGACGGTCATTGGTTCTCATTTCTGCCAGGGCCAACTCCTGTGACAGCAGATCACTGAAGAAGTGGCTGATATATTTCTCCACCCGCAGCCCATCAAAGCCCCACATGTACACCATGGCTGCCTCTGTGGGCACACAGGCAGGCAGTTTCCCAGGACGAGAGGTGGCCATCACCCAGCAGCCTGGCAGGAGGGTCCCGCGGCAGAGGTCAGAGAAGAGGTTGAGGGCGGAGCCTGCATTGTCAGCGCCCTCGGAACTGGCACGGAGTGCCTCATCCAGCCCATCAAAGATCAGCAGGACTTGATGGGCATTCTCCTCCAGGTATTGAAAGACAGCATCTGGGTCTGACTCGGGGCTCAGATACAGATCAAAAAGGAGCTGGGGCAGCGTCAGCATATGTGTGACCATGTTGAGCCGGCGGAACTCAAAAAGGAAGAGAGCCTGGAAGTGGTCCAGCTGACCGTCAGCCCACCTCCAGCAGAGTCGGTGCGCCAGAGTGGTCTTGCCCATCCCAGCCTTTCCCAGAAGTACTGTCACTCGAAGTCCCTTGGGGGCCTTGACATTGAAGAGATCCTGGATGCTCACATCAATGTCGTCTGTTGCATCAGGGTCTCCTATAGTGGCTCCCTCCTGAGCATCCAAGGGTGCTGTAGCCCGGCTCCACTGTAGAATCGGGGGGATGTAGGCCTGCGGAGAGGCCTGAGTATGCCCTGCCCCCGGGCATTCACCACCATGGTACTGCCGGGCAGAGGTCTTTAGGAGCTTCAGATACTTCTTAGCCAGCTCTGCAAGGGACACAGCAGGGGCATGAAGACAGGAACTCTCACACTGGGTACATGTCCTGGGACCCCGTGATCAGGCTGCTACTGTCTTTATCCCCCAACTATGTGGGAATGGGGGTAAGTGTCAAGGGCACAATGGATGCTCTTAGGTCATCCATATTCCCAGAGGGAGTGGTTGCACAGCAACATAGGCTCCAACACCACTTACACAGGGAGGTGGGGATGGGCCCTTGGGTCACAACTTTCTCTTCCAGGACAATATAGGTGATATAGTTTTCAGTAAGCTAGTGGAGGTTGCTTGTTTTGCAACATCAATGGGGATCAGCTCTAAGACGGCAAAGGTAACTGCATCCTTCCCTTGAGAGTGGGCACCAACAAACTACAGGCTTTGTACCAGTCAACCAGATCGTGAGAACTGGGCTCCTGCTATGCCAAGTGTTACTTTCTTCCTTCCTGGGTCATTGGGAAGACTCAGCCCCCATCCCTACCCCAGAAAGGACTGAAGCGTGGTTTATTTTACAGATGTGAATTTTCTGGTTATGCTCATGATTCTTGGAGTGTATGTGCACGACAGGGCTGGGCCAGGACTATTCTGGACCACTGGTAGAAGACAGACAAAGTTTCACCTCTCCTCTTCCCCATGGCCTAGCCTCAGTGCCCTGTATCTCCACGAACCTCCTATCTGGGGGTTTTCCAAGGCACCTTTAATACCTCCATCCTCACTCATTCCCAACATGACCACTGAGGACCCAGGCCTGAGGTCACACTGGTTACCACCCTGATATTCCCACAATCTTGAGGACAGTTTGGAAGAGCTTCATTAACAAATGCCCTTGAGACACCCTGTCTCCTCCTCTGCTCCCTCAGGACTTCATTCTTTCTCTCCTGGAGACTTGGAAAACAAGTCACTGGGTCTCAGAAGATTTCAGTCAGGGACAAACCCAGAATCTGTCCGTGATCAACCTCAGGGCAGCCCAGTCTACTCCCATAACCCACCTAGTTGCTGTTTCCTGCAGTGCTTCCGACGAGGCGAGGACCCACAGCTCTGAGAAGGGCGCTTGATGCCTGGAAAGAGAGAAGTGGGGCATGGGGTAGAAAATGGGGACCCAGCCAGTACCTTTGGGGTGCTCTATTCCATAAGTGGGCCCAGGCAGAGAAGCATGAGACTCCCTGCGATTATGAGAAGGGCATTTCCATAGTTTCACCAGCTAGCTTTAGGCTCTGGGCCAGGATGAAGCAAGCAGACCCACAGCAGGGCATTCTAAGGGACAGGTTCTGGTGTGAAAGGGAAGCTTTCAGTTACTTGGCTGGGCCTGCCACTTGTCCTTGTGAATATGCATGATACCTGCCTTTCTGTAATTCCGCAGGGTTGGGAGGGGACAGGGACATGAGAACAGTCTCCCTGGGTGACACCTGACAGTGGATCTAGAGGACTAAGGTCAGCCACACCCAGTCTCTTCTGGGGATCCAAATTAGATCCCCAATAAAAGGCGGTGGGGCAGGCCTTGAAAGTCACAGAGAGGAAGGGAGTGGGACTTGGTCCATGTGCCGAGGAAGAAATAGTCACTAACCACCACTAGCTTAAGGTAAAGACTGAGCCCATCAGCTGGTACTCCAAGCCCTAACCCCAGTTCTCACCATGGTGCTGCAGAGGTCCGGGATGGCTGTCCTCACCATCTCCTATCTGCTTAGAGAATTCTGTAAGACAGAGCAGAGCACATGCCACTGGGGATGTGGGACACAGTGTCATAAGGGTATAGGGTGCCTGAGTACCTCTGAGTGGTGTCTGCTCTGGGAACAGCCGTAGGTTCCAGAGATACAGCTGGCACCTAGTCGTCTGACAGGGAAGCAGGTGGTGCACTCTGCATGCAGCAATGTGCAGAAGTACGCATGTGTACATATGCACACATCAGTGAGGATGCATGTCTGCACACACGTCTGTGTATGTATGTGTTCGCATGCATGTGGGATCTGTCTGCTCATGTGTGTATGACTATGCATCCCCATCTCCACACTGGTACAGTTCATGGTTGAGTTCCCACTTTCTATCCAAGGACTCCTTGTCCCTCATCAGTATCTTGTGCTCCTCCTCAGTGCTCTGCTCAAGAAGGTGCTGAACGGAATAGTCAACCTCCCTGCTCATTAGTAGGGGCTGAGGTCTCTGACTGCATTGCAGAGGGAACCCTCTTGGTTGCTGCAGGCATTTGGAATGCATGGCTCTTCTATGTCCCCTCGGTGTGACCGGATGGGTCATGGGTGCGGGGGGGGTGGGAGGGGAGGCTGAAGCTCTGTAGGTCACCAGGCTCCCATGTGGGCCCTTACCATCTTTTTGGCCCCAGATGCTCAGCAGTGGTACCTCCAGCTCGAGAGGCACATCAAGCTCCATGCACAGACTGTAGATGAAAGACTGCCATGTGGCCAGGCCCTGGGTGTACAGCCTTCTGAGCCGATGATGAATGACCTCAGTCTCGGGAGCCGTGTTGCTGCAGTCCAGGTCCATGGTAGGAAGGTAGAATCTAACCTTGGCACTCAGCCATTCTGAGTTTTTACTCAGCAGACTCACAAGCCAGGCCCACAGTTGGAGGCTCTCGGAGTCCATCAGAAGCCGGCCCTGTGGAGATGCGGGGGAAACAGGTGAGGGGGGGACAGGCAGGAGTAAGGGGTCTGTGATGATTTATGTCGAGTGTCAACCTGACATAATTGAGAATCATCTGGGAGATGGGCCTCTGAAGGGTCATCTGCTCTACGTGCGCTGACATGGGAGGAGCCATCTGGACTGTGGATGGAACACTTCCCTGGGCAAGGGATCCTGGGCTGTACAGCGTGAAGGGAGGGAGCCGAGCACTGGCATTAATCACTCTCTGCTCCCTGACAGTGGATGAGACCAGCAACTTCACTCTCCTGCTGCCCTGACTTCCCCACTTAATGGACTGTGAGCAAGAATGATGCTTTCTCTACTCCTAGTGCATTTTATCGCAGCAACAGACAAGTAACTGGATGTATCCACTCAGATCAGCTTCATCGATGGGCCTGCTTCTGTACCCTTCCCTGACCTGTAACCACACACACACACATACACACACACACACACACACACACACACACACACACACACACACACCCCTGCCAAACACACCAGTCTACCAGCTCTTCAAGGTATACAGGGCTCAAGGATGCTGTTTCCATGGACCATCTGTGCTGCTTTCGCGCTGGATTGATTTCATGACAGAGACATCTAGCCATCCGCTAATATTGTTTTTCCTTTCTGTCTTAGAACTATAACTCCAAACTATTCCCTGATTATGCGGAATAGACTTGGCGCCCTAGCCTCCCTAATAGTTAGACACAAGCACATCATGGGGGTGGGATGGGGGATGGTCAGTGGGATGCTATCTACCTTCCTTTGCTTCCTCCTGATGGCTGGAATGTTAACAGGGTGTCTAGACCTTGGGCAGCCATGTTGGGTCACAAGGTAGAAGTCAGTGCTGAGGAATGTGTGGGTAAAGTTGCTCACCTTCCCTGGACTCAGCGCCTTTAGCCCTCTGTTATATGACTAACAAATATATATTTTTTTGTTTTTTTTTGAGACGGGGTTTCTCTGTGGCTTTGGAGGCTGTCCTGGAACTAGCTCTTGTAGACCAGGCTGGTCTCTAACTCACAGAGATCCGCCTGCCTCTGCCTCCGGAGTGCTGGGATTAAAGGCGTGCACCACCACGCCCGGCTAAGAAATACATTTTTATTTGGTTCAAAATACCATCACTTAAGGAGTTCTGTGTATAGTCAACCCAAGTCTTGGCTACTACAGACTATCTGCTCACGCACTCTAATCTAATTCTCTCTCTCCAAAGATAAGAGCTTTGTTTTATATTTATGTGTATGTGTCTGTGTGACTGTATGTCACATGTACGTGGGCACCTGTGTGGGTTAGAAGAGGTCACTGGGTTCCCTGGAATTACAAGCAGTTCCAAGCTGCCTTATGTGGCTGTTGGGATCTAAACCCGTGACTTCTGGAAAAGCCGCAAGGACTGCTGAATTATCTCTCCTGTCCAAGTCTCCAGCTCTAGATGGGAGCATATGAAGAGCCTGCTGGGAAGAGTTCCAACAGAAGGCAAAGGGCTTTCACAAAGCAGAAGCCTAAAATAACGAGCCATGGTTTTGATCCAGTAATTCCACATGCAGTAGGAAGCCATCAAGGATACACAACTCTTTTTTTTATTACAAAACTGTTTATGGCACAATTATTTATAATAGTTACAAATCAAAAGCAACATGAATAGCAAACAATTGGAGGATGGGTTAAATAAATGGTGGTCTATATGTTGGAATACGCTATTTGGGGTATATTTCTCCATGAACACTTACATACTGTGTTAGGCATGGTATTCTATGGATTAGCTAATATAGGTTAGCTAATCCTCACATTTGCAGAGATATCACCTCTAGCTCTAGAAAGTGTGGGAGGTCCACCAGGAGCTGGCCTTGCTATACCCATTGTATACTCTGGACACTCAGCAGGGCTCCTTCCTGGCCCCTCTCCTCTGTTAGACTTCTAGCATTTGTGCTAGAGCTTACAAGTCATGCAATGTGCTCACATCCATGATCCTTAAGGTCTCGGACCACTGTCTCTGAAGGAGAGAAGCAAGTGTCCAAGGTCACACACATGGCAGATGCAGGATCAGAACTAAAAATTTTTTTGGCTCCCAGATCACCAAACTTCCAAAGCCTTGGAGCCTCAGGTACCATGAGACAAGGGCTTTGTGTGATTTTTGTGCTAGGGGTGTGTCCACAGGAGGGCGTGGCTTCCTTACTGGGCTTGGCTTATCCTCACATCAGCCTGACTTGGAGCCTTTGTTTTGCCAAAGGTGTCCCAGCTCTTGAGATGAGACACCAAGCTCTTTAAGCAAACATCACAGGGAGACAGGGCACATCCAGTCATTATAGACATAGTGACTTCTGTTGGAAGCAAACTCTGGGACATGATTTCAGCAAAAAGATCCATGACCCAGAGCCACGAGATGATTGCTGGCCTGGCTTACTACTAATTCTCCGTGGTAGGCCTTGGGGACATTTACAGATGCCCTTTGGTGGTATCACAGGAAACCATTCCTTTGCATTTGGATGTGGCTGTGAACTCCAGTTGTCTGGTAAAATTTGTTAAAAATGACATAGGTCACATTTGTGCAGATGCTTCAAGAGCCAATATGTGACTCACCCTGATCTCTGCTCCTTGTTCCGTTTCAGATCATGGGCAGTATGGACCAGAACTCCCCTCCATTCAAATGGCCAGAGAACAAGGGTGGGTGGTGCTGCTTTGGGGCAAACTATTTGTTACCACAGCAGAACCTAGCTGACACACTCACAGTGTGACTCCGGGTGAATGTGTGTTATTGACATGGACATGGGAAGCACCCCAATCCTGAGAAACGGAGAGGCTTCCCTCCTGATGGGAGTATGTGCGTTGTGAAAGCATGGACCCCAGTTTCCTCCTGGATGCTTACAGACTGACTGCACCCTACAGCGACCTCCTATTAAGACGAGCTAACTTCTCCTCCTTGTGCTATGCGTTATATACACAGCCAAGTTTCTGGATTGCATAGTAGGTGCCCTCCATCAGAGCAAGTGCAGCCCATCAGACCCCGACTTCTCTCTCTCTCTCTCTCTCTCTCTCTCTCTCTCTCTCTCTCTCTCTCTCTCTCTCTCTCTCTCTCTCTCTCTCTCTCTCTCTCTCCCTCCCTCTCTCTCTCTCTCTCTCTCTCTCTCTCTCTCTCTCTCTCTCTCTCTGTGTATGTGTATGTGTGTGTATGTGGTTTCTTCATTCCTGTGTTGCCCCAGGTTTCCAGGACTAAGCTGTGCAAGGCATGGTAAAATGTATGCCTCAGTCATACCATCTATAAATGGGTAGAATAGAAGCTCAAAGCTCTCTGAGATTTTCTGTACCAGGAAATTTTGTTCTCATGCTGAATAGTGTCCAAGGGCAAGTTTGTTGGGTCTGGATAACCCAGTTAAGACAGAAGCCAATACTCAACTCTCCCTGAGGATACTTGGTCAGGTGATACACTTGGTTAAGTGTTGTAAGAATGTTAATGTTCAGCCTTTGGTGGTGGTGTATGCCTTTAATCCCAGCACTTGGGAGGCAGAGGCAGGAGGATCTCTGAGTTCAAGGCCATCCTGGTCTACAGAGTGAGTTCCAGGACAGTCAGGGCTACACAGAGAAACCCTGTCTTGAAAAATCAAGCAAACAAAAAAGAAAATTAATGTTCCACAACTGGACAATATGTAGATAATGAGAAACATGGAATATTCTGTCTTAAATGGGATGTTACAATCAAACCTCTCCCCTCAAGGCTCAGGAATCTGTGCAACAGGGAGGTGGAAAGATGCCAGAGGTGACAATGACTCCAGTGTCTTTCAGACATGATAGGACTGGTACACGTATGAACTCACAGGGACTGTGGCAGCACTCACAGGGCCTGTGCAGGCTCAAGCCAGAGCAGGTCCCAGCACTGAGAGGAGAAGTGGACACAGGCTCTCATCCCTCACCAAGAAGCTGCCTCTAATTGATGTCACAGGGAAGCTCCTTGATGATGTTCCCCATCCCTGTGAATGGTGACCAAGGACAAGTTTGTTGGGTCTGGTTACTCAAGGTCAAGAATGATAACATGGGCTGCCATTAAGGGCCAAGGGTCCTGATGCCTGAGGCTAAGAAGCTATAACATTACTGAGAGCCAGGTGACACCTTCAGAACTGTCACACTGTCACCAACCCTAACTGCCACCAGCTGCTTCCGAGGGCTGGTGAGGGTTACACCAGCTGCTTAGAACCCAGCGACCAAGCCCAGAGCCAAAGCCTCTACTCCAAACACATTGAACGCTATGTCTCTGGCTTCTAACTCTCCAGTTCTCAGGGCTTGGAGCTGTAAGTTCTAAGTCTTTCAGATCTGCCCAGAGATCTTCAGCACTCTAGGGCCTGGGACTGCCTATAGCATCAGGACTATTAGCCCACTCTTGGTTACCATCCATGGTGGCAAAAGGGTACAGCTGACTGATGACACAGGGATGTGGATTGACAGTCTTGGCCACAGAAAAGGAGAGGAGGAGTGGATGGGAGGAGAAAGGAAAAGAGAGAAGAGGAAAAACACCTACCTGACTTCTTGGATCATGATAGATGGTCCTGTGTCCCCATATAGAGGGTCCCTGGAGTGTCTGGGCCTTGTCCTCTGACCTTCAGTTTATAGCCTGTTTCCATAGTGCTGGACCTAAATGGAGAGAGAGTCCACAAGAGTCTTTCACCCCAAAACCAATTGAATTCTTCCCAACCAAGTTCTATATGTCTCTAGGGTTGGCACATCCCAGTCTTCCTGGTGCCATCCTGCTTATCCAGGAACAGAGTGTACTTTCACGTTTTTTAATCATCGGAAAGTGCTGGGCGTGGTGATGCCATCCTAGCACTGGCAAGGTGAAAGCAACAGGCTCAGTTACACAGTGAGTTCAAGGTTATCCTGGGCTACAAAAGACTCAATCTAAAAGAAGAGCAGGTGGTGATACAAAGTTAATGTTCTCCCCAGTGCACATGGTACCGAGCAGACTCAGAGATGGGGCTACCGAGATTAAGGAAGATGAGAGGTGGATCTGCAAGTGTCCCTACAAGATGCAGGAAGCCACTGTCTCTTTCTTCCCCATGAAAACACAGCAAGTGGCTGGGAGCCCTCACTAGACAGCAGATGTGCTGGCATCCAGATCTGGGTTTTCCCAGCTTCTGAGAGTGTGAGCAACAGTTGACACCCAGACTATGATATTCTGTTACAGCCATATGAAGTGACTAAGACACACCTGCCTGTAACCACAGAAAGTAGAAGGGAAACATCTCCATGTTGACATCAGTCAGAAAGCAATGCCTCTTAAAGTCCATCTGGACACCCCAGAGACCTTAATGAGATGACAAGAACAGTCATTTGGAGGAAAAAAAATCAAGCAGGGCGTATGGCTATAGGATGTTAATATAACAGTGAGAGACATTTTCAGTTGGAATTGGGTAGTTGAGGGCTCAGGCTGCAGCTCGGAGTACAGCACTTAGGCATGTGTTTAGCAGACACAGGACTCTGGGGGTCAACTCACAGGAACACACATGAGAGAAAACTGAAGGCAATTTTTATCAAAAGACCATCTGGGGATAGGCAGGCAGGTATGTGGGGGAAGCTCTAAACATAGTAAAGCATCTTCTAGAGTGGCCACCACTGTAAGGAACTTGGGTTAAAGACAGAAAAAAATTGGCCAGATGAATGGAATAGAGACCAAATGAGCTCATATTCATTCAAAACTCACCAATCAATGGTATTTGCCACCACAGTCAATTAAAGAACAATTGCTTAAAAATTATTTTTTATTTACTTTTATGTAGTGTGTTGTTGGGGGAAGTCCTGTGCATTTGTCAATAAAGCACTGTCTGGCCAATAGGGAATCAAGATAGGAGGAACTAGGAGACCAGAAGGACTTTGGGTAGGAGAAACATACGGAGAGTCAAGATGTAACGCCATGGGGTAGGAAGCCCGGAACTATTCTCCGGTAAGAGACATACTTAGATTAACAATTATGGGGTAATTACTTAAGTCAGAGCTAGCTAGTAAGAAACAAGCAAGGCCAACAGCTTCATAATTAATATAGTCTCCTGTGTGTTTATTTGGGACTGATGCGGCTCTAGAACCAGGCTGGTGGGAAGGCTTCTCACAAGGAAAAAAGCTTCCCTTTACAGTGTGTGTGTGTTTGTGTGTGTGTGTGTGTGTGTGTGTGTGTGTGTGAGTATGCACATAGATATGGGGAGCTCTTGGAGGTCAGAAGAGGGTGTCAGATCCCTGGAGCTGGAGTTATGGGCATTAGTGAGCTTTCCAACATGAGTTTTGAAAACTTAACTCAGGTCCTCTACAAGAGCTGCAAACGTTTTTAAACACTGAATCCATTGCTAGCCCCTAAATAATTGTTTTTAATTAGGTGAATTTAAATGTTTTGCTTAGGACTGAAGAGAGGGCTCAGCAGGTAAAGGTGCTTGTCACGTACCTGAATTTGATTCCCAGAGCCCACGTAAAGGTTGAAGGAGAGAAGTGACATGACAAAGTTGTCCTCTGTGTTCCATGTGCTCACGCAGCACCCACACACTTATGTCAAACACACGCACACTCTCTAATAATAATAAATAAGCAAATAACTTAAAAATTGCTTGGAGCTCACAAACCTGGGAGCATGGCATTTCACACCTATATAGACTGTAAAGAAAATGATGGACTCTGTTGATATGGATTTGGAGAAACTGGAGCCCTCATATATGGCTGGCAGGAACGATACAGCTAAGTTGGAAAGCAGCTTGGAAGTCTATCATAAACACTGTTATGCCATTCCTAGGTCTAGACCCAAGAGACATGAAAATACTGCCCACGCGCAACTGGTCAGAGACCGCGGGCAACTGGTCTGAGACTGCTCAGATCAGGTTTGTAGGTTTTCACCTCAACAAAGCTACTGAAAACAATGTATACAAACAAATGAGTTACAATGAGTTCAGTTAGAGAGTTCATCACTCACTAATTTTCTATTTGAGTAAGAAAAGGCAATGATAAAATGAAAGCAACACTCTGAAAAAAGGTGTTATATATGAGAACCAGATGATTTTCTTGATAGAACAATGACTCTAACAAAACATGGAAAAGACTAACAACTACATTGAGAATACAGTCAAGGATAAGCAGTGACAATATTTAGGGGAAAACAAATACTTGTATACTTTATGTTTGTGGATAGAGACCTATTAAAAGTACTCCAGGGAAAGCTCTGTAAGTTATTATTACATGTAAATTACCATGCTCCCCTAGTCACAGGCCCCAGGGGCTAGTGTTATGCCCTAAGTAGATGGCTGAGAAATAAACTTGCCTCTCCTCCACTGATGGGTGAGTATGTTTTGTCTTCTTTTTATGAGGATGTCATAAAAGCCCTGTGGCCCCTCCCAGTCACCCAGCCTCACCTTCATGTGCTTGCTTTACATCTGACTACCTACAACTGGAGGCCAAGGATTTGATTTGTTTCCTTAGCCAAAGGATGCTGAGGGTTGATGTGTCAACACCCGATTCCCTCCTCATTAGGCAGGCTTCCGGTACCCACAGTGTGAACTTGCTCAGTGACACACCTCGGAGATGCCTGACCTCCCCCCCCGATTTCCTGTCCCCAGAGCACTTGATGGGACCACCTCCTAAATGACTGAGATGTGTTTGTCCCCAGGTTTGCTTATGAAGGAATCCAAACCGGAACAGGAACTTGGCACCATGGATAGCCAAACGCCCTTCCACTCATCATGCGCACTGTCACTGTGAGGCATGGGAAGAATTAACATGTCGGCAGTGACTTTCACTCATTAGGAGGCAGTAGGGCACACAGACTGTCCTGCAAAAGGCTTGAACTGTCTTTGGCAACAGGACTCTCCGGGACAGGGAATGCTCACCAGCTGGCCTTCAAGGTGAATGTTTACAATATGTCATTCAGCTGTCGGGGTGGGGGGTGGGGGATGGTGGGGAGTGGGTGGGGAGGGGTGTGGGGTGTGGGGGAGGGGAAGAGGCTAAATAGCTCACCCAAATTGGAAGGATTGGAACCCAGGTTGTCAGAATTCCAGTATACAATGACAAGAATGGCGATTGATCTCCTGCTACTGCATCTGAGGACTGGTGGGAAGACCAGGGTCCATCAACAGGAGGTGAATTATGAAGCACACATATGAAGCAGCTGCCTGAAAGATATTGATAGATGAGTCATGACATGGAAAGTGTCCGGAGCAGCCTACTAAAGAAATACACATGTTAAGAAGGCTTTGACCTCATGTGCACTCTACTAAACTAGCATAATCCCCACCTGCATTCTAAGTACTTACCCACAGGTGAGTGTAGCTTCCACTGCCCAAGCTTAACTGATACATCTACAACACAACTCCCACACCTAAGGCCCTGGGAACACTGCAAGAAGGCTGCGGTAGTCTGAATGAGAACAGCCCCCCCAGAGGCTCATATGTCTGAATGCTTGGTCCCCCAGTCAGCGGAACTGCTTGGAAAGGATTACAAGGTGCATCCTTATCGGTGTAGGTGTGTCATTGGGAGATGGGCTTTGAGGTTTCAAAAGTCTATGTCAACCCAGACTCTCTCTCTCTCTCTCTCTCTCTCTCTCTCTCTCTCTCTCTCTCTCTCTCTCTCTCTCTCTCTCTCTCTCCCTCTCTCTCCCTCTCTCTCTCCCTCTCCCCCCTCTCTCTCTCTCCTCTCCCTCTCGCTCTCTCCTCTCCCTCTCTCTCCCTCTCCCTCTCTCTCCTCTCTCTCTCTCCCTCCCTCCCTCTCCCTCTCTCTCTCCCTCTCCCTCCCTCCCTCTCTCTCTCTCCTTTCTCCCTCTCCCTCTCCCTCTCCCTCTCCCTCTCTCCCTCCCTCTCTCCCTCCCTCTCTCCCTCTCTCTCTCTCTCTCCCTGTGGATCAGATGTAAAGCTTTCAGCTCCAGCTCCAGCAGCATGCTGGCCTGTCTCCCACCACGATGATAATGCACTAACCCTCTACAACTGTAAGCAAGGCCCCAGTTAAATGCTTTCTTTATTAGAGTTGGCTTGTCACAGTGTGTCCCCACAGCAATAGAGCAGTGACTAAGAGGGGAAGAAAGATCGCAAAGAAACTGTGTCTCCTAGAAATGATACCTCACCAGCATGGCTGCTGAACAAGTTACAACACCAACAGACATGCTAACACGGAAGGGGGAGGTCTCACAGGGACATAGACAAAAGAGCTGCCGGCAACTGAGAAATGCTGAGAGTGGGAGCGTGCTGGTTTGAATGAAGACGGCCTCCAGAGGCTCACAGGGAGTGGCACTATTAGGAGGGGTGGCCTTGTTGGAGTAAGTGTGGCCTTGTTTGAGGAAGTGTGTCACCGGGGGTGGGCTTTAAGGTTCCCAATGCTCAAGCCAGGCCCACTGTCACTCTCTCTTCCCGCCGTCTATGGATCCAGATGTAGAACTCTCAGCTACCTCTCCAGCACCATGTCTGCCTATGCACTATCATGTTTCCCGCCGTAATGATAATGGACTGAACCTCTGAGCTGTAAGCCAGCCCCAACTCCTTCATAAGAGTTGCTGCGGCCACTGTGTCTCTTCACAGCAATAAAACCCTGACTAATACAGGGAGAATTAGGGATGAGCCCCAAAACTGGTTATCCAATATCAGATGGTCAACCCTGAAATCGTATACACACAAGTAGCCCTAAGTAAACTCAACAGGTTGTATTCATACATTCATGCATATGTGTGTAATAATAATAATTAAAGAAAAAGAGGCATGAATTTCTTTTTTGTTTATTTCTTGAGTCAGGGTCTTACTCTGTAGCCTTGTCTATGTAGACTACGCTGGCCTCAAACTCCCAGAGGTCTGTCTGCCTTTGCCAAATGCTAGGATTGAGGATGAATTTGAGAGGAAGCAAGTGTGTGTGTGGAGGGGAGGCATGTTTGGCAGAACTGGGCAAGAGGAGGGAGGGGGAAATAATGTAATATATTTAATTTAAAAATTTGGAAGAAAAAGGATTTGACAATTGACTAATTGATAGAATTTGAAATTGGATTCCCTAAATAACTCAGGTTGCCCAGAATTTGCTATGTAGCACAGATAAGCTTTGAACTCACAATCCCCCTTCTGCATCCCAACTTCTGGGATTACAGCTATGTATATCATACCAAATAACAACTGTATTTTTAAAATGCATATATGTGTGTCTGTATACACACAGCTACACAGGAAACTAGTGGTAAATTATATCTGAAAATGGGACCTGAGGGCCACAGAGGGAGGAGAGCCTTTTATTACACTGTACTTGCTCTTTTTCATTTAAGACATGTAGCATAGGCTGGCCTCTAACACTCCACGTAGCTGAGGACGATTTTGAACTCCAGGTCCTCCTACCTCCACCGCCCAGGAGCTGGGATTACAGGCTCGCACCATCCTGCCCGCTTCCACTGTTCTCTTTTGGTCACTTCGCACCACTTACTTCATTGTGTTTTATTTAAGTGTGTGTGTGCGCGTGCGTGTGTGTGTGTGCGTGCGTGCGTGTGTGTGTGTGTGTGTGTGTGTGTGTGTGTGTGTGTGTGTGTGTGTGTGTGTCCCTGAGTGTATGTCAGTGACCCCGTGCACTCAGGAAGCCATGGAGGTGAGAAGAGGGCATCAGATCCCCTGGAACTGCAGTTACAGGCTGTTGTGAGCCACTATGTGGGTGCTGGCTGCCAAAACCAGACCCTCTGAAAGAGCAGTAAAGGATCTAAACCACTGAGGAGTTTTCCAGCCACATCTTGATTTTAAAACCATATAACCATCAACATTAAAAAACTAAGATATCAGCCAGGAAGATTCCATTCTTCCTGACCCCAACAGGCAAAAATTCCTTTCCAATATGACCAAGTCATCTTCTTAGGGTTTGTTTTGAGGCTGGGTTTCCTTGGCCTCACAATGCTCTTGCCTTGGCCTCCTGAGTACTTGGGTTATAAGCACACTTTCAAAAGCTACCTTGATAACGTTAGAATGTTTCTCACTGTGGGGCCTCAGAGATGGCTCAGTGGTTAAAAGTACTGGTTACTCTTTCAGAGAACCCAGGACCAATTCCCAGCATCCACTGCAGCTGGCTCACAACACCTATAACCCCAGTTTCTGTTGATCAAGCACCCTCTTACCAGGATGCCTGTGCACCACTCAGATGCACATACACACACACAATAAAATAAATATACAAATATTTTATTTTATTGCATTTTTATGTACAGTTGTGTTTTGTCTGCATGTATGTCTATGTGAGGATGTCTGATCCCCTGAAATAGGGGTTACAGACAGTTGTTAACTGCCATGTGGGTGCTAGGAACTGAACCTGGGTCCTCTGGAAAAGCAGCCAGTGCTCTTAACCCCTGAGTCTCCAGCCCCTACAAATCTTTTTTTTTGGGGGGGGGTTTAATTTTTATTTCAAAAGCTCGGATAGCTTCAATATCCAGGTCGTGGCAAAATCAGGACACGTGTAAAATACCTTACAATACATTAGATTCCCAAAAGGTACCAAAAAGTACAGTAAAATTAACACTTCCATTACTGGAAATGTATGACACAAATAATATAAAATTAAAAGGTGAAAAAGGTGACACTGGTTTCCTAAGATACAGTTTACTCTACAACCAGGGTCCACAGGTCCAGGCTGCAGAGCAGCAGCAGGAAGCAGACCCTCCAATCTAGTACAGGGTAACCTGGTAATAAAAATCAGCCCCCCATGCTGCTCTGGCCTCTGAGATGCCACACGCTGCCTACAACTAGAGCTCTGGAATAGTAAACAGGAGAGTGATTTCCGGGGGGAAATTTTAAATAAGATGCACATGGGACAGGCCATAAAAGTTTGCCAAGTTAAATTTGGTACATAATTGTGTTCACTCCGCGTCCAAACAAAGCGTGTGCGGTCGTCAGTCGGCCGCTCCTGCTGCCTCTCAGTATGGCTTGTAGTTATTCTGATGGCCACCACGTCGCTGGCTCTTCCCGTAATTTGTACTACCCTGACTGTAGTCGTAGCCGGGGCCGTAGCCGTAATAGCCATAGGGCGAGTAGTCGTAGCCGCCATAGCCGGGCCCGTAGCCCTGCTGGTAGCCGTAGCCCTGGTTCCAGTAGTTGCCGTAGCCCTGATTCCAACTCTGACTCTGACCTCCACCTCCACCACTGCCTCGGTTCCCTCGATTGCGGTTTCCTCTTCCCCCAGAGCCATACTGCTGTTGCTGATACACCTCTTTAGGCTGGGCAACTTTGATTTCACACTTGCTTCCACTGACAGTATGGAACTTTTTCTCCAGAACTTTCTTTACAGGGTCTTCCTCTTTGTATGTAATAAAAACAAAACCCCGTCTTTTGTTCAACTTGGGATCTATTGGAAGCTCAATGGCCTCAATCTCCCCAAATTGGCCAAAGTATTCTCTGATCTTTTCTTCTGTGGCTTCAGGGTTCAGACCTCCCACAAAGATTTTCTTCACAGGATCCTTCTTCATAGCCATTGCCTTTTTAGGGTCAATAACACGGCCATCCAGCCTGTGTTCCTTCTGGTCTAAGACCTTCTCTACACTGGAAGAGCCTTTGAATAGGATAAACCCAAACCCTCTTGATCGTCCAGTGTTAGGATCCATCTTAATCGTACAGTCAACGACCTCCCCAAACTTAGTAAAATAATCCTTTAAATCTTTTTTGCTGGTATCCCAACTCAGACCACCAACGAACATTTTTCCCGCGTCCTCCTCGTTTTTGCTGGCGTGGATCTGATCACGCTCGGCGCCGTTCTGGTTCCCGCTCGGGGTGGCCGTGGTCCCGCCCCCAGACGCGGCCGGGGCTGCGGGGGCCGGTGCCCCGGCGCCCGGCTCTACCGGGGCCTCGCCTTCGGGGGCGGCCTCGTGTCCGTTCTCGGTGGCGCCCGTCGTTTCCATGGGCTGCTCCTCAGCCGCGTCCGACATGGTTAGCCAGGCCGCAGCGGCTCCTCGCCGCCGATGACGCCGCGAGGCCTTACTCGCCGCGGAAGGCGCCGCGGGCTTGGCCGGGCTCGCACCCGCACCCCCGGGAGCTCGTCCGCGTCCACCGACGGTGTCGCGCCGCTCGGCTGCCGGCGTCCACAGGCCACAGACGCGACCTCAGCTCCGTCCCGCGCGGTGCCACCGCCTCCCTACAAATCTTTTTAAAAAATGTTTCTCATTGCATTAGTTGTCTTC